TAAAGGACACTATTGGTGTCAGTCATTTTCACATACGTGATGGTTAACCACGTTCCAAATATAATTTTAACACAGAGATCATTGCTACGATAGATTCGTAACGACGGAAGTGACGCAAAAAATGGAAACTTACTGATACACGGTCGAATTTATGCTCACTGATAATTCCTTTGAAGACGAAAAGTTGTTATATCAGACCGTGAGAGGATATCTGACAATTCATAAAAAGAATTGACTGTCACTAGATAAAAGAAAACGAAAAAAACAGAAAGGTCCGCGCATTACCCTGTTTTTTTTATTATGTACAGAGTGAAAAACAACAACAAAGGAATGTACAATTTTCTGATCGTACTCTCTTTTTAAACGATTAACAACAGAACCTCGTGGTGTAAACCATCCATAAGCTCTTTAAACCCGGTACCCTTTCTTTGATTTTCAATTAGCTTACAATTCTTAAAAGCAAGAATCCCTTATACGACTGACCCAGAAACAAGTAGCTGTTTATTAAATATCATATCAAAATTATTAGTAAGTCATATTGATTCCGGCAATAACCCAGAAATCCTCCCAGTTTTTTCTATTGTCATTACTATGTCAGCCTCTAAGATAATTTATCATTTATCTGATAACGCCTACTTACGGTATATTGGATTCTTACATCTGTTTGTTGACAGAAATTGGAGATTAATTACGCCATTTCTGTCGGGTGGATTAAAGCATTGAAATCAATAGAAGCGTGATAGCCTCTTAGATGAGATCAAGTGTCAACTACGTTCACACATCAGCATTAACAATGGCTTAGTATTAATTATTTGTTCCACTCGATTGCTATTAAATATGTATAATTAAACAACCATTTTTTCAGATCCTTTTTTGATCAGTACATCTGAGTAGAACACAAAATATTAACCGTTATCAGAACTTTGATCAGTCATTGTCTCGTGTTAAAAGGTTATGGTCTATGTATATCTATTGTAACTGTACCTTCTGGCATTAATTTTAAGAACAAACAATATTTACATAATTATCACGCCTTTGCGATTTTGAAATCATTTACGTTTCACTTTTTCTTATGAACGTGGTTAGTGAACCCGGGGTCTATTCAAGTCAAGAGCAGATGCGATGTAGTGTTATCAACACTTAGGCCAGGTTTCCACATGCGCATTTTTGCTGTGTTTCAAAACAAATTCGTTTAAATACGTTTTAACAGAATGACGAAGGGTGGGTGTAGGGTGTGAGGTGTTTATGTGTGTGCGTGTGTGTGGTGGTTCGGGGGGGGGGGGGATATAAAGATTTAATTGTTATATTGTTTATTTTCCCCAGTAAGGAAAAGTAAAGTTACCAATGTTTTTTAGAGTTCAATGATTCAACTAAAAGATTCATATGCGGTTACAATTCAAAACGACATGAGGCCAACAGGGACCAATTAGACACAAAATGTCTAGCATGAATTTCTTATTACAAGGTATTTTATCATTATATAACAAAAGAGAAATGGTTCCTCGGGGCTTTTACATCATCATTCTGTGTAAAGTGATGCCTATATATCTAAAATGAAATCAATTAAAACCTAAGATAAGATCAATCCATTACCAATACAGATAGGTGAAAGCTTTTATAAAAGGGTATATAACTATAGGTAAAGGTCACCGGATGATAAGTATAGATCATATCATTGACCTGTCATTCCATATTAGTGTCTGGGACAATGAAATGTCTCCTATACGGAATGTTTCAGTTAGCTTACAACAATAACAATTAGTATTTTTCTATATTATTAAATCTGTTGTTTACTGTAAACAACAAATCGGTTGATATGGGGAAAGTATCCGTGTGCGTGCATTGTGTTTTGGTAACGTTTAATAACTGTTACATGGAACTTGGTAGTTACGATGGATCTATTTTATTAGCTCCGAGGGCTTATGTGACATGTCATACTTATGGTGTGATCGTTGGAATACATTTTGCAAACTCTTAAACATTTAAATGATAATTTAATAGGTACATGTGTGTTTCATTGGGTTGCGGTGGTGCTTAAAGGGACATTATGTAAGATTTAGATAAAGAGCTAGTTGTTCTTGCTATAATATTTCGAGAATAGATAATGCAAAATGAATATATTGAAAATTTTATACAAATTACTTTATTTTGAGACAAATTATCAATGTTTGTAGTTTTGACAAGATGTGTGCATTGATCGCAACCCCCGTACTGGTCATTCGAGTCTTAGCCTCGACTCTCCATTTTTAAATCAAATCATTAAATGGACGAACCATTCTAATCTACTTATAATCGGAGCCATCCAATGGCATCGAGAATTGATTATGGTCTTGTCATGTTAATAGATGTCTAATTAATATAATATTTAGGACCCAAACAAAGACCTGCAACAGGCAGATTTAGCTCTTACATAATGCATGTTTAATTAAGTTTGAAAGATAATTTTAATTCAGTGGTGCATATCAAAGTTGATCAAATGATGTTGATTGGCTACAAAATGGTGCGAGCGGGGCGAAGTTCCGTGGGGGAAAAATTTAGACACTTTCGAACATTTTCGACATCTTATAAACTAATATTGGTGGATAAACCATTTTTTTTAAAATTACGTTGATCGGCTTCCAAGGAAGGAGTAAGGCAGCTTCATCTTTAAAGAGCAAAATTTTGATATTTTAAGCTAGTGAAGGAATTTTTATTGATTAATAATTCAATAATTGGGTGCACTGAATAATTCAATGGCAATTAACCATCTAGCATTTCGTATCAGCTTATTGAATTATAATGTAAGAAGCTGGTGTATGCATGGTAGTTTTATAATGTGCATATTATACTAGATACGTATAAAGTGTTAAACTTCCTGTAGGTTTGGAATTAACGTTCACGGTTTATAAGCCTATAACTAAAGGGGGTAAATTAGAAGATAATTCGTTTCGTTTGATTTCTAATAGTGTACTACAACGCAATTGAAAGAAACCAAATTGTATTTTAATGTATATTGGATTGTGTTAGCGATCCTATATGTAGGCCTATATGCATTTAGATTTAAGAAAAATAATTAAAACTGACAGAAATTATTTTTTGTTTGTTCATTTAAATCAATAAATTATATTACTTGATAATTTCTTTGGAAACTACTGTGCATCATTTAGAATAAACACATGGGCACAATTCCATAAAATAATAATTACTGTGTATTGTTGAGCGACGTTTCGACTAGGATCCTATAGTCTTTTCTATGAGAGTTATTGTTGCTTGGTGATTTTATCACTCGCTTGATAAAGACTTGCGAATGATAATTAACAGTAATTATATTTCGTGGAATTTTGTCTTGAAATACTATCAAGCAATGATTACAGAATCCTATAAATTGAAACGTCGGTAAGTAATTAACAGTAATTGTATTCCATAGAATCGTGTCCTGTATATTAGCAATTAACATTAATATAAGTGTCATTGAAATTATTTATCATTTAGACTACAATTGCTAATAGGGTATATATTTCATCAATTATTCGATACGTATCCATTTTTGTTATAAACGGAACTGGGTTCCAGTTGAAAGATCATGTTTATGATCCCTCGACTAAATGATGAATATATTATAACTTTTACAATTAACTGGACTTCGACAGCCGAAATGAATTGTACATAAATCTATGTCGAGATATCCACAATGATTGATAGCTTATAGCTTAAAATTACATTTATTATTCAATTTGAAGCTTACGAAAAGAAGCTATAGATTTGGTGAACAACGACAACCTCACCGAATCTTGACAGTAAAGCCCACCCTGCTGGAATAGTATAGTCTGGTGTTAAAATGACAACGCCTCGTGGATTTGTGTCACAAATAAAATCGTCGATTTCGTTGGATTTCATTATGTTGATTTGTTTTGTTGACGTCTGTATAATCACAGTAAGAGAAAACTAAATCTAAAATTAGTAAATAAACTGATCTCTGCTTAAATATACATGAGTTGACCCTATAAAGTTTTGAAAATTTCATTCAAATTACTTTATTCTGAGCGAAGTTTTAAGTCTTGAAAAGGAATAGGCATGTAGATGGAAACTCCATTGCCATAATTATCAACGCTATCAACGCTATCAACCATAGCATAGCGTTTATTATCGATATGTAGACCACTGTCCAGCCCACTCAATATCTAAGCCACCCGATGGTCTACAGTATTGATTATTGGTTTGTCATGTGAATAAATGTCTAAATAATCTATATAAATACAATCAAAGATGTCTGTGTGTATGTTCGCCCATCACGCTTGTGTCACCGCGATCCACTCCGCATATGTGGTATCAAATTAACCAGCATGACCCCGTGAATGCTTTAGGCCATCGACTTAGGTGCCCGGGCGAACTGGGTCTATTCCACGGGCGAATAACGCTTCGTCGCCGCTCTCCACCACCCCTATATGTGGTATCAAATTAACCATAATGATCCCGTAAATGTTCTAGGCCTTCGAATTTGGGACCCCGGACGAATTTTGGACACGGGCGAATTGGGCCCCGGGAGAATCAGGGCCCTGGGCGAACTAGGCCCCGGGCGAATTTGGGTCCCAGACGAAGCCGGGTATCCTGCTAGTACTTTATATAACATTTGAAGACAGACACGCTCGGCAATAGGCAAGTTTAATCTTCGAAACAAATAATTAATCGTTTTGTGCCATCCCTGATAGAAACAAAACATTAAATCAACTTTAAATCAACTCCATTCAATTTTTACCGAAATGAAAGAGGAATTTTTCCTGTAAGTTTGTTGAGGGGAAAATTAACACAACAGGAAATAATAATTATAATGCTTCCTGAAATACTATATAAATTATAGCTGTACTTTAGAGATACGATAATAGATTACACTAATTTAACATTCAAACATTTAAACGGTATTCGTCCAGAATACCGTAGAAATTAATCAGTACAAAACCCGTTGTTGGATTTGAATAAAATATTTATTTAATTCCCAAATTATACATAAAGTGATTCACAAATCAACATGTAATATCTTTGTTAGTAACTGATTGTTATTATACAAAATGAATGGAATAAGGTTTAATGGGCTTGGTTATTTGGTTTAGAAACACAAGTTCCGCTGTGGTAATCAAGGCTATATCCGTAAGCACATTGACTGCATTCGTAGGCGTTTTTGCACTTAACACAATAGGGAATGGTGCATTCTGAAATAAACAGACACAATAATTAGCACAATTTATACAAGTTAGATCATTATCAATCATCAATAACTATTGGGTCACTAAATTGCGGAAGTCGACTACGATTAAAAGCAAATACCAAGTTTAAAACTGTTTCCGGATAACAACTATTAGTGAAGATATGAAAATTATTATAATTCCTCGCCCACTCTTAGTGCTCTATTAACTTTCAGGATAATGGTCATTAATAGCAATATCCATTTCAAATTGAACCCTGAACAAATCACAGTCTAGCTTGATACCGGTTTGCTTTGAAGATATAATATGGTTAATATGATTGTTTGTGCTGTATTCGTGTACGTTTTGTTCCATCATTTGCTAAGCAATTGGTTTGCATTGTACACAGAATTATAGCAACATTACTAAGTACAGAAAAGCAAAGTAATCATTATCTAAATAATCTTAATGTTAACGAATCAACTGATCTGGTGTTTTAGAAATGCAAGACCACTACAATGAATAATTTCCCAGAGAAATGTGAAGGGTATCAATATATGGTGGTATTGCAGGACTAAAATCGGTGCTTTGTTTAATACCCTGCACGGTTTGATGATGATGATGATGATGATGATGATGATGATGATGACGACGACGATGATACTGGAAAAATACTAGTACCAAATAAATACATAAGCTTTAATGGGGTCGTTTTAACAATATCGTACAAAAACGTGAAACTTCAATTTTTGCGGCTCTAACTTTTCTCACCACTTTTCTACCACAGATGGAGCAGCATGTGGCAACCTCTTGCTCAACAGCATGCATGTATGAGGTTCACCATGGAAGTCTATGGTCTATATTTACGACTCTGAAGTGAAGATATGTCTCCATTAATTATGAGTTGATTTGAATTAAATTAATGTCGATGCAAATAATAAACACTGGCTTCAAGTACATATTTTTTAGTTCTGTTCATTTTATGTGCTCTTTAATATATAATTTTGTGCGCATCAACCGCTTTACTTGCGAGAAATATTTTAATATAGCCAGAAGCAGGGCCACTTTGACATGTCTCTCTGTCATGATATTATTTATATAACACCGACTGAGAAATGGTGGTAATTGGTACTGTTTTAAATATGGATAGCGACAACGTATGATTATACACTGACGTGAACGTATCCGAAAGATTTATGCATTAATCAGTTCACAGTAATTTCAGTAATTTAAAGTTGCGATCAGAAATATTTGACTGGTCTAACAATGTTTGTATATCGAAGAAGTGGTGGTAATTTTACTGTTTTACATAAGGATAGCGACAACGTAATTATACTCTAATGCCTGGCTTTTACGTGGGCTACGAATCGCCCCGAATAATGGAGAATCGGGATTAACTATAAAGCAGTTATGAATAGTGTACGAAAGAGGTACGATAATTCGGAAAAAGTTTGGATTCGGGGCGATTCGGGGCATTTGTAGCCCACGTGAAAGCCGGCATTAGTAGACCCTGCCATAGGGAATATTTGTCTGACCTACCGCTGTTAAGTCAGTCAGTCAGTAGGGCTTAACGCCCGCTTCCACCTAGGGTGATATCGCGTCCAAATCGCTGTTTGTAGATGTGAGATTAAATAGTCTGACATCCACTCGTACCACTGAACCATTTATCAACGCAAATGACTACTATCAAGACAAGAGATAGTAATATATCAGCTTAGTTTATTTGTATAGTGACTTACCGTTACAAGCACCGTAATGACAGTAGTAACCAGATCCACATTCTTTTGTACACACAGAGTTACTGCAAATATCATATTGCATATTAAAAAAACATATATTGTACACATAGATTACCCTGGCTTTAGACAGCTGTGGATTTCTATTAACCCTTAGGTTATCATCGTTAACCATTCATCGATTTACTCATTTAGGGTCAACATTTTTTCTGACACAGATTTTGAATTCTCATGAAGGATAATTATAATATCGGATTGGATTCTTTTTTTAGTTATTGTATGCTCGGGTGTTTACAATGTCACTAAAATAGTTACATTTTGTGATAAACGATCGTTAACGAACAGTCTGGTTTCCAGGCTATATTAACCACATCAAGGTCCATTTGGTACTATAATGAAATAGAACGGGATTTAACGTCCTACTTTCCTGCACCGACTGAGCTAATGAAAATGTGCGTGCGCCATACAATGTGCTATGGGGGGGGACTTTTCCCCGGACCTACTCTTATTTCGAATTCCAACTCTCGAGGATTCTTTTAGGTGCACACCAATGTGTACACGGAACCTCAGATTTTCGTCCCACCCGAAAGACTAGACGCTGTCCTTTTTAGACCCTCTGCCCTGCACCACTGACATGAGGTAACCAATTTGTGCTGAGTTAATTGCATCAAGGCGCCATGTTGCCTGTCGTCATTCCGTTCTAAATGCGCACGTTTGCGTTAAGATATTGCTATTCTGAAGCCGTGTTGTCATATTCCATGTCCACGTAGTGCATGGTGATAAATGGAATATCTTGAAAAAACTTTAAAATACCAATATCATAACGCAAACGTACGCATTTAAAACGAAATATCGACATACAACATAGCGCGTTGATAAAATTAACACTGCATAGACTGTCTTTTCGGGGTAAAATTATCGCAACGATTACAATATGTAGACTTATTATTACCCGTTTAATATTGCGATATCTTTCGCGCTATTGACCCCTATATGCTTCCATACCTTAGACTTCACAATAACTGTTTAACGCACCTTTTTATAATAACAATATCTTAAGAATCGGAGCATAAATCAAACGCCGAACATGTAATTCTGAAAACAATTATGGACTGATTCCTTAATGGAAAACCATTATTTCCACAGTGTGCGTCATAGATCCATTTAACGTTCATATCAAACTATGTTTCATCGTGCAAAAAGGTTGAATGATTTAATGCTTGGTACGTCTCTGTATTGGATGTAATCAATCCAGCTGTCATAATGTCTTTACTCTAGATGACGCAATCGGTGTTTTGTGATATGAGATGCCTCTGGAAGACTGCGAACCGACGAATCCGATATTTTTAAGTATTGAGAAAAATGCGTTTGAAAAATGCGCTCTGTTGTTATCTCTGTGGGCATCAAATAATAACATTTATTTGTGATTCAAAATTTCATACACATAGAGCAGGACACGGAACGCTATTTACATGACCACAGAGAAACGTGACGAAAGTATCACTGGAAAAGGGGGAAACTAGACTGGAAAATCTCGGGGAATGTTCTCGGCCATCATCGGGATCGAGCCCAAGGCATCATGGCCAGTAAACATCGGACCACGGTGTCTAAATTATATAAATAGTCTAGAGCCATTTCTGCATCAGGCTTGTATATTGTTTAGGGGGGTTGGATGGTCGAATGGTTAGCACGTTCGTGCTGTATCATACGACCTGTCATTGAGTCAACTGGCGTGGTTTCGAATCTCCGGTTGTACGCCTGTCCAACCTCGTGGGTTTTCTCTGGGTCCTCCGGTTTCCTCCCACTGCTAAAGACCCCTACGCGCAAGCGAATTATTTAAAATAAAATTAAACCATATGTTAGTCCCGAAATGACCTAGTTTGTGTCGAGTGGACGTTAAACCCCATCTCTCTCTCTCTCTCTCTTGTATATTGTTTACTGTTATGATCATGAAAAGGTCAGATTATTACAGAATGTCTACCATTGTGTCTGTCGTTGATATCGTAGTTCAATCAACGCTACACAATGGCGGTTACGTTAAAATTTATAGACTGGCAAAAACTTCCAACGATATGATGTTTTTGGTAAGCAGGTTGCAATCGAAGAAACTGTATTAAGTACGAATCGCGACATTTTGAGTCCACAATTTTGATTTTTGTTTCAGAACAACCGAAAGTAACGATTTTCAAAGTTAGTTGAATAACAATAAGACAGAGAGAAATGGAGGTTTAACGTCATCTCGACACAAACTAGGTCATTTCGGGATTAACACATGGTTCAATCTTATTTCAATATTTCGATTGCGTGTAGAGGTATGGACAGGCGACCATACTCCTTATCACGTACAAGCGGGGAATCGAAACCACGTCATTTGACTCAATGACAGACCTTAATATGATCTAACACGCACCATTCTCCCCGCCCCTTCCCCTGAATAACAGTGTATGGCCCTAGAGTTATGTTTAATTATTCATAACAGAATCTTAACCCGCTGTATGATAAATTATTATGCATTTAAACTTACAGGTAGCCATTATTATAGAATGTTTTCTTGCAGTAACCATAATGACATTGATGACAAGCATAGGAACTGGTACAATGTTTACAGCCTACTGGACAATTCTGGCATACACCATCATGCGCATTACAGTATTGCTTGTTTCCACAATCTTGTACACAACTTGTTACTCTGAAGAAAAAAAATAACACCAGGAATTTGTTATCATTGATTATAACAATAATATGTTTGACACAGGTCTGAAATATTTTCCCAATAAAACGATTCTTGTTGGATTCGTTATGGACTCGAAAAGTGGGATTCCATCAGATTAAAGTGAATGTGTGCTATTTAAAGTAGCTAAGTCTTTAACCCAATATCATCCAAAGTCTTCAAAATTGAAAACACGAATTTGTTGTCAATTTATTGTGATCTTACCGGGAAAAGATGGGCTTCTGATATCCAATATTTAAGACAAAATAAACATTTTACCATTGGTACACGAATCGTGTAAGATAATGCGTTTCAGCGTCATTTGTAACAAGGGACTCGAAGAATGCGACTAGACATATTCCACACTCCATGTCAAACGGTAATGCCATATTATTATCTGGAAAGCATGCGCAATAAATACTATCGGTGTAGACAGGAATAACAAGACGCTTTAGATTGCTATTCGATTGAGACTTCTGGCGTATTTCGCCGAACATAACTGATTTGAAATTAGAGTAAAAACGGAAACGATTGAATGTAAATCAACATTCATATTACATTATTATTATATGCGTTGCGACCCATTTGTGTCAATTTCTAGGTTCCAAATACTAGCGATTTAGCTCCCTTAAGTAATCTACAATATTATAAGTCTAATTAATAGAAAACGTGAGTTTTCAATGATATACCTGTTTGAATGAAATGGGGTTTAACGTCCTACTTTTCTGCACCTACGAGGCTAAAGGCGACGGTTCAATATATCTAATATATGAAGTATGACATATTATTTATTCTATATATTTCAGACATCCACCCAAACTCATTCACCGCACAAACTTAAATGACTAAACAAAATATTCCAAATTACAAAAAATGGGGAAAAGTTTAAGTAGGGGTAGCGGGAAATCGTCGAACATAGATTATATGATATGATTGAAACAGAAGAATGCTTCTAACGAATCATACAAAAACACATTTATTTAGCTGTAATTGTTTGTTTTATTCGTTAAAACTCGTTTGATTAGTCAAATGTCATGGAAGTGATTAAGACTCGTGGTATTTTTCAGAAGAAATAGCCTTTATTTTGTGAAAACATGTAGTTCACATTTTATAAAAATCTAATCATTATGCGCTATACGGTTTTGGTGTTCCTAATGCAACAGGGGAAATTTACAGCTTTTAAATTTGGCGTTGAGGATTTCATCCATAAAACTATTCATGCATTAGTCTTACGTTTAGGTAAAAGAATTTGTTAATGGATATTAAAGTTTTTATTTGTAATCTATTCCATTAACGCTACCACAAAATGAAAATTGCAAGTTGTTTTTTTTTTGTCTACCCTGATACCGAAGCTAGTATGTTCTTGAGGGAGCTTCTAATGGCAACTTGAACCTTAAAAAATATAAAGTATCCTAGTGAGATAAATGGATTCAACGTCCAAGTCATGGGATTAAAAGTAGTCTTTTTTTAAAATAAAAAAAAATAATATAATTCGCTTACATAAAAATCTTTAGAAGTAGATGGGACTCATAGAGCCTTGAGAAAACCAACGAGGTTTAACAAGGTGATCCTACACTTTGTCACGGACAAGCGTGGGATCAGACCCTCGATACTTACATGAATGTCAGACATTATTACATAGCACGTGTTTATCATTCAACATCCCCAATTATTGGAGAGGTCTGTATTTAAGACAATAACGCGCGAATCCATGTAATATTGCTTAGAATATAAGGACTAAAGTGCTTGCCCCCATAACAGATTTTTATTACGTTGAAATATGGAGTCATTGGTTGTGAAATATCAAACTCGAGGGCTAACTATTTCCATAACAACTAGTTATCCGCTACACAAATATATATATTACATAAGTTTATTTTTCTTACGCAATAAATTCTTTAAGCCCACGGTCGTAATCCAAAAGCCGAACACTCATGCAAATTTTCTTAAAGGCTCAATACCACTCTTGTTGTAACTGAATAGTATGTCCTAATCTTTATTCTTGTCAACAAATTGTACTATTTTACAATATTCCAATTAATTAATGATACAAATTTCATCTTAACACACCTAATTTAAAAAATTGGAAAAATTCAACTAAATGATTTGAAAAGCCTGACGTAAAGCTTTTCAAATGTGACTTGGATTTAAAAATATTTTTGACCCCTTTGGACAAGTAAAATAGGATTTAATGGATAATTTACACAACAGTAGGACACTTAACACATCCAGTACTTAGAATAAGGCTATTTTTTATTTTCTGGAGCTGTCAAGCCAGCAAGAGTGTTATTGTCCCTTTAAGATCCCAAATTGTTTAATCATGGAGTATTACTATTAACAGATACTGTTGAAAATAATTGACAAGATGATAATTAAGGGGAAGGTGGGTTGAGTTAAAATTTCAAAACGATCCAACATCACCAGCGCCTGTCCAACCTCGTGGGTTTTCTCCGGGTCCTCCGGTTTCCTCCCACTGCTAAAGACCCCTATGCGCAAGCGAATTATTGAAATAAAATTAAACCATATGTTAGTCCCGAAATGACCTAGTTTGTGTCGAGTGGACGTTAAACCCCATTTCTCTCTCTCTCTCAACATCACCAGTAGTTTCGACATTTTTATCGAGAAGTTGTATAACCGCCATATTTACGATCAATATACGGACACCTTAATGAAAGTAATGTGGGCGTTTAGAAAAAGTAATCAGTCCAATATTCATTAAGTCACATAGATTAAACCGGTTTAGTTTTCTTTCAAATCAATCAATTTCATATTTATGTTGAAATAGGTAACCTTGTGACACGCAATCTGGTTTTATATAACGTATATTTACTAGTATATGTTACAATCGAATGCTGAAAATTGATTAGATATCCACGAAAAATGACTTCTTTCCACGCACATAATTTTGTAAGAATCTTGATCATTCGACTTACTTCGTGGATTGTCGGGTTTGTTGGACAGAGATTAAGAAACATGTTATGTTGAAGATGTTTAAAGAGGTAAAATATATGATGGGTATTAGCGTCTTAGTTTTCTGCATCAATTGAGATAATGAAGACGGGCATGATTGGCTTTAGCGTCCTAGTTTTCTGCACCAATCGAGATAATGAAGACGGGCATCTACCATGCTGTGGGGATATTTTGCCCGGACAGCAGCGATCTACTCCAACTGTCAAGGCTTCTTTTACATGCACGCCAAATTTAACACGAGACCTCGGTTTTCGTCCCATCTAAACGAATATGCATTGTTCTTTGTCGGATTCCCCGTCCTACACAAGTAACTTTGGAAAACCCCGAGCTACTTTGTCGGCCAACACCGGGATCGAATACGTCACGTCCTGGTTTGTGAATCAGAACCCTACTTTTGCATTTACATCTCTAGGCTGGGGTCTGTGCTTGGTGAATTATCATATGGCCCCACAGATTATCGGTACCCTCCCATTTCGACTACAGCTTATAACAACAGATTATATTGTCGGGTGGTTTTATTATCCCTACTTATATACCCTCTCCATTGCTAAAATAGATTCTTTCATAAAAACATTCTATTTCGACTATAGCTTATAACAACAGATTATAAAAACAATATCGAAACCCAAAAAAAAATGACAACGTAATATATATAGAAATCGTATAAAATAAGAAGGCCTAAAAAGTATTCTATATGGAGAGAAAACAAGGAAATAATTAAAAAGTAATTTACATATAGATAGAAACCCCAAAACCCAAAAGTAATTTATATAGGTAGAAAAGCAAACAATATTAAAACGTATTTGAGCAAGTTCTTCAGTGCAAATGAATTGTACAGGTTTCGTTTCTTCTCGTGAAAGTTTTATGGGACTACTTTTAAATTTGATTTAATCTTCATTGTCTGTGGCGGTGGTTGTGGTTTGAAACATTTCGAATGTATATATCAATAGTCGTACATTTTTAAGTGTAAGTTGCCGTTACACAATTCCAATGAATACATTCGCCGCGCTCATTATTTCTTCTATACAAATATCCACCCAGTAAGACTTGCGGCTTATCTCTCTGAGAAACTACAAATTGTCCTTTAACCCACGAAGTTCCACCATATACACATAAAACAATATTAATAAATAAATAAACACAGTACAATAAAGTACAATATTTCTACTTTCGATGTCTTGAAATTAAAACTAAACACAATATTTATTAAAAAAAACAATTCTAATGATAGTGAACTCGAAGAGGGAATGTACAAAATTTGAAACTATTCATCTCATATCGCTACGCAAGTATTAAACTCAATTTATGTTGCACCCAATGATCTACCTTGCACTCGATTTGTTTTAAAAGTCTATATCAAAACTATCCGTCCAATAAGTAGTGACGAATATCGTGCAACAGGCAAGATATACTGCTTTGTATTTGAGGACTTCCACAATTTGTGCTGTACCCTACTTATACTAACGGCGCTATTTTTCTAAAACAAATAACCAAGAAAAGAATGAAAATGTCATCTACGTCACAGATCCATCCTCAGTAAAAAAAAATAATATCATTAATGACTAAAGTCACTTACTTGACTCCATTGTGGTCTTCTTCTTTCAGACAATAATCATGTTCACATTTATTGCATTGAAATTTGTTGCTACATTTAGAACAGCCATAAGCACAACCTAAAGAGAAAAAAAATGATTATAATATCTTCATGAGGTAATTTATCTCATCTGGAGACGGAAAATCAAAGTATCATCTAATTACAGCACGAACAATCGCCCACGAAACCATACCCAGCATCTAAAGATGGGTCTACTTCCGCAGTATATAATAAAGGATCAAACATTATGTTTAAGCTTGATGGCTAGTTTGCTTCTATTTAAGTTATAATTAGTGTTACTATATTTAAACTCCGTCTTCATTATTCCGGTTGGTGCAGGAAAGTAGGACGTTAAACCGAATTTAATCATCAGTGATATTATCAGAAATTGTTGAAGTTTGATTGAATTTGTTTTTTCACTATAGTCTGAACCAGGGGCCTGTTTCACGAAATTATAACTAAGATAAAAATCCAAATTTTTGTAATTTGAATGGATAATATTAGACTGATTTTAGTTCTTAGCCAACCAAAATTGAAGTATCTACTAAAATTTGGATTTCATCTTTAATTAAGATTTCGAGAAACAGGAACCAGGCATATAAATTTCAAGCAGGTCAGATGATCATTTTTATCGATAGAGAGCTCTCAAAACTTTACAAAGTGATCAAGAGTCATAGCTATAGAAATAATTAATGAAAATTGTTAAAAAATCAAAAGTATAGCCTTCTTCGTTTCACTTATTCAAACAATGCACATGAAGCAATTCGGTAGAATTTTACTATTTTAAACAATGCAATTGAATTTCAAGCAGATCTGACTATAACCTTTATCGCCAGAGTATTCACAATATTCTACAAAGAAAGCATGGACCATAACTCCGGAATTATTGACATTCAACGGGATTCCTCCTTTCAGGTACATTTCATGCATATCGGTGAATACCTTTGTCGTTAGAGCGTTTGCAAGATTCTGAAAAGTGATCAAGGGTGATAACTATGTGGGTTATTATTGTAAATTGAGTAAAATCATTTGGATTCTTCGACTGGATGAGTGGAAAAACCAAACATGTTGCACACAGTACTGAAAAATGGTAGCAGATGTTCAGATATTATTAGCACGTTCTGCCTTGTACATGACAGCTACTATTGCAAGGTTATATGGGTTTTTTTAAACTAAACTAAGAAAAAGTTGCATATTGGACAGAAAACAAACTCGAGGTTGATCCGGGTTGATAATATGCAACATAATCACCCTATACGGACCCTCTCCCCAGTAAGTTTGGTATCACAGACGCTGCACTGCCTTGGCTAAATTCCTATTTACAAAATCGATGGTGTAAATAGGTAAGACGACAGTTATCACCACCAGTGCTATTAAAACATGGTGTGCTCTATACTGCATCTATATCTAACATCATTGACAGTTATCACTGGATCATCACGCATATGCAAATGGGGGATCACGTGGCTAAGTGGGTAAGACGCTAGCTCGCTAGCCTGGAGGTCGGGTGTTCGATCCCTGCATTGGCCGAGAAAGTTCATCAAGATTTTCCGGCGTGGTTCTCCCTTGTCAGTGATGCAGGACGGAGGGGCTGACAAGGAAAGCTGTCTAGTCGTTCGGATGGGACGAAAAACCGAGGTCCCGTGTACACATTGGCGTACACGTAAAAGATCCCTTGGCAGTTGGAATTCGATATAAGAGTAGGCCGTAGTGCCGCTGTCCGGGCAAAATTTCCCTCATAGCACACTGTATGGCGTATGCCCGTCTTCATTAGCCCAGGTTAGGAGCAGAAAAGTAGGACGTTAAACTCCATTTCATTTCATTTCATTTCATATGCAGATGGCACTCAGATAATTGGGAGTTTTGAGCCATCGGCATCTTTGCAGAAATTTGAAAAAAATAACGGCATGTACCAAATCAATAAAGTTTGAATACGCTGAAACTTAATGATGACAAAACTGGGGCGGTTTTAATAGGCACTAAACATCAGCGGTCGAACAACCCAATACGATCGGAGACTCAGATATAGCTTTCCCCTATTCAGTCAGAAACCTTGGAGTAGTCGTGGATAGAGATGAGAAAACAAACTAACCATCTATGCAAAATTTGCTATCTCCATCTTCGGGCTATACGTAAAGTTCGACACCTGATAAGTCGTGAAACTGCTCAAACATTTAGTTCGTGCCTTGGTCGTTTCCAGACTTGGTTATTGTAATGGTTTGCAGTGGGGTATTTCACAAAATCTATTAAACAAGCTACAATGTCTCCAAAATTCTGAAAGGACTGCAATGGTTCCCTGTCAAATTGCGCATTGAATATAATTTACTATGTACAGTGTTTAAATATGTCAACGATTCATCCCCTTAATACCTTCAAGAACTGATACACAATTACATTCCTACACGCGACCTCAGTTCAATAAACCAACTGAGACTTTACAATCGAGGCTAGAATATGAAGACCTTCGGGTACAGGTCATATTCCCATGCTGCAGCATTACTCTGGAGAGAGAGAAAAATGGGGTTTAAAGTCCACTCGACACAGACCAGGTCATTTCGGGACCAGCATATGGTTTAATTTTATTTCAACAATTCACTTGCGCGTAGGAGTCTTTAGCAGTGGGAGGAAAACGGAGGACATTGGGAAAACCCGCGAGGTTGGACAGGCGACCTTACTCCTTGTACAACAGACTTTATGATACAGCGCGCACACGCTAACCATTCAGCCATCCACCCCCACCCACCACCCCATTACTCTGGAACGTAATTAATATTGATATAAGACGATCTGATAATCTCGGAACTTTTAAATCAAAACTGAAAATATTTCATTTCCACTCAATACTGCAACCGAACAATGATAAGCTTCATGCTATCTCCAAGCGCCTTGGGTATTTTTATGGATAAGCTATGCTATACAAAAACTTATTATTATAACCGTATAATGTGTTAACATCTCAAATATATAAAGATAGGTTGACAGGTTACAAAATACACGTCTACAAAGAACTAAGTCGTCCCTGAAGTCTATATAGGATGTCACTTTTTTTTTCTTTAGTAAGTAATGGTGACATTTATTAGACATTAATACTGATCAAGGCCAATAACGCATGATGTAATTACCAAAAATAGTTGAGAATTAAAACGTTTTTTCGCCTCATGAACATAGCCACTGTGTATAATTCCAATTCAATCGGATAATAAATTTAGCCTCCAGAGCGTCTACAAGCAATTGCGGACGATGGACTGCAAGACCGCCAGCCGAAGAACAGTTAACGACAATGTAACCACATTCCAATAGTAGAAAAACGTCTAGCCATAACTCAAGCCAGTTCTGATGAATTTCAAAACCCAAAACCTCTCAGTAGCAATTATAATAGCAATTATGGAGAGGTGGCATGAATTGTTCTACAAAGACTGTTTAAAACTGCCAGCTTTCATTCCTATCGTCTGAGTTAAAATGTCAGTTACCTTCAATAATGTTACACGCTCTATACAACTTGTATGGCGAGAGGACTTCATTGATAAAAATAAAGTATTACAGATTTAGATTCATTCTTTTATCTAATCCCATCTCTACATAAATATCTCTCCGGGATTATTAATTTATATTTAGTAACATACTGTTAAATACGTCTATTCCTAAGATACATTCTAAAGTAGATGAAATTAATATTTTGAAAAAAAAAACGGTAGTGGGAGAATCAATCTCGTTAGTCTGTACAGGATTATTATTGGAGAGTAATTCAGGCCCAAGGCGATTCTACACCTACAATTAATTTAATATTTTACAATATACTTATAAAAACGTAGACAAAAACATACTCGACAAAAATTGTTTTTCAAGTTTTATTTCTCGGTCAGATGGACTCGATTAGAACAACGCAGTTTTCGTGTCAAGCTGGATTCTTGTTTATATGTACGGTAGCCTATTGGTGTCATTCGTTAATTTATACCTTTTTCTGATAATTTACCTCATATGAGAAAGATTCACCCTACAATACAGTGAACGAGGGTTTCGCAAAAAAAAAGACCTATGGTAAATAAAAAAAAAAACCTAAAAAAACAATAAACCTTTTCTGAGCGGTGTAAACCTTTTCTCCGTGGTGTAAACCTTTTCTCCGTGGTGTAAACCTTTTCTTCGTGGTGTAAACCTTTTCTAAACGGTAGAAACCTTTCTCTACGGTGTAAACCTTTTTCTAGTAAACGTTTTCACCACGGAGAAAAATTACTAGAAAGGGGCATAAATGGCACCAACAGGCCACCGTAATTATGAATAGCAAATTGATTTATTTCTTGGCAACAATTTCTAAAAACATTGAAATGGGGTTTAACATCTTACTGTTCTGGACTAATGAAGGGAGATATGCATCATGTAGTGTGCTATGAGGGAAATTTTGCCCGGACAGCGGCACTTTGGCCTACTCTATGCGTTGTCCCTTCAATACTTTCTTGGCTGAAAATAAGTACTAATAATCTCTTAAACACGTGATAGCATTTCTCACAGCTATAGCTATCTATATTGTATTTTTGTTCTGCAGGTGGGCGGGGTTTCCCAGTTCAGTTTTGCACAACGGAAGACCTGGCAAGGAACCGTGTTTAGTCGATGGGATGGGAAGAAACGCCGAGGCGTGCACGAAAAATGGGCCTCTTCAAAATAATAATAGGCCGTGGCGCCCCTGTCCGTCCAAAATCGCCTCCGCATTGTGTGGTGTATGACATGGCGTATGTCCGTCTTAATTCTCAGTCAACGATAAACCCCAATTAGCATGGCAGTGACAAACAAATGAAAATGAAATGAAATGGGGTTTTACGCTCTACTGCTCTGCTCCTACTGGGCTAATGAAGGCGGTCATACGCTATGCAGCGTGCTATGTGGGAAGTTTTGCCCAGACAACGGCGTTACGGCTTATTCTTTTTTTTTCGAATTCGAACCGTCTAAAGTTCTTTTACATGCAGCCGATCTTTACACGGGACCCACGGTTTTTCGTCCCATCCGAACGACTATACGTTGTCCCTTGCAAGAACCTCCGTTATACACCACTGACAATGGGGAAACCACGCCGAAAACCTCGATGGACACCAGGTTATAGAGCCGCCGTGGCTCCCCGAACAAAATAAGATTCTGCATTATATACATATTATATGCGTCCCATTATATCTCCTACAATTATCCTCGAGGAAGTCTAACATATGTATGACCTGGCAGAATTTGAATGGGTTCTTCTGGACACATAAATGGATATCCTCCCACATGTCTGTTTTATCCAAGGGGTTGGGTGTCCCAGTGGTTAACGCGTGCGCGTTGCATTCATTATAAGGTCTGTCATTGAGTCAAGTTACGTGGTATCGATTCCTCGCTTGCACGTGACAACGAGTAGGATCGCATGTCCAACCTCGTGGATTTTCGCCGGGTTTTCCGGCTTCGTCCCACTGCTAAAGACGCCTATGCCCAAGCGAATTAATGAAATAAAATTGAGCCATATGCTAGTCCCAAAATGAGCGAGTTTGTGTCGCGTGGACGTTAAACACTATTTCTCTCTTTCTCTGTCTAATCCAATGTTTAATTTAATCGATATTAGTGGCATCGTGTATGTGGAGTGGTATAAGGGAGACAATTACCAATTTTAATTCACTGCACTGCACAGATATCTGTATATCTAAATCAGTAGCTTTGGTGCAATGTTTGGGTTAATCTTGTACGTTGACAACACATTTTAATCTTCTGATATACGCATGTAAATTTAGCCTTATAGATTAATTTGTATAATAGCGATAGCCATTCGTATTTTGAAAAAATAAGTCAAATCGCGCACAAAAAGCCATAAATTTGTCCAAAGAGGGTTACACAAATGTGGCAGGCAAACTTATTGATCAAATATTATGAAAAACAGAGGTATATAACAATCTTACTTTCTTAATGCGATGCATTGATGCCGATATAGTACTCAAGGGTCTGTTTATCAAATTTAATTAAGTTAGGTTTCCTTCAAGGTAATTAGATGGGTGGACATGGTTGGCCAACATTAACCAAATACTGTTTTGACGTGTATATATTTTATCGTTATATTTTATAATTGGTTGATAAAGACCAGAGACGCCTAGTCGAAACGTCGCTTATTAAAGCGACATTAGGTAAGGTCAGATAAAGAGCTAACAGTTCTCGCTATAAGAGTTAAAATTAGATAATGAAAAGAGAATATGCTGAATATTGCAGTCAAATTACTTCACTCTGAGCCTAGTCTAGGCTCGACTGTCATTACTACCGTTGTTACGATAATAAACAAAGTCTCGATTATCCATTTCTACGGTAACCGCATCGACCACAAAACGTATTTAAATCTACTTATATCGCAGCCATCCGATGGCATCGAGAGTTGAATATGATCTGGGTAAGTTAATTAATGTCTAATTAATAATTTATATAACATTCCAGGCCTTAAAGGCGCAATACCACTCTTGTTGTAACTGAATAATATGTCCCAATCTTTATTCTGGTCAACAAATTGTACTATTTTACAATATTACAATTAATTGATGATACAAATTTCATCTTAACACACCTAATTTAAAAAATTGGAAAAATTCAACTAAATGATTTGAAAAGCCTGGCGTAAAGCTTTTCAAATGTGACTTGGATTTAAAAATATTTTTGAACCCTTTGGACAAGTAAAATAGTATTTAATGGATAATTTACACAACAGGTAGGACACTAACACATCTAGTACTTAGAATAAGGCTATTTTTTATTTTCTGGAGCTGTCAAGCCAGCAAGAGTGTTATTGTCCCTTTAAGAAAGACCTGCAAAAGGCAGATTTAGCTCTTGCATAATGCATGTTTAATAAAAGGTAATTAGTATTCCATAGAAATGTGACCTATATATTTATGTAAGAAACTTACTTGTACATCTTCCCTTTGAACAGAATGAACCTTTATCACAATCTAGAACACACTTTGGCTGACTGAAGTATACAATGTATATGGATGATGTTTTGTGTCAAACGGCACATCATACTAATAGAATAATTGATATACAGGTATTTGACCATGTCTCGATTATTTATCTTATCGTTACACTCTTAAATGGCCGCGGTGTTCTAATCTATTTAAAATTGGAGCCACCCGATGCCCCAGAAATTTGATTATGGGCTTGTCATGTTAATAAACGTTTAAATAATAATTTATATATAACATATGAAACCCTGTAACAAACCTGTAATATAGGCAGATTTAACCCATACATTATTCATCTTTATTAACTGGCCACGGTAAATACGGTACAAATTTAGTCCATTACAATATTTGAAATTAGTAAAAAAAACCTACATATAGATATACTCACCTAAATCCATAAGCACTTGTTTCTTTCAAACACAACCCTGTTCCACAAACGGCACAACCAGCTTTATCACAGAATGCGCAGCCAGCTTCACAATCTGTTACAAATAATAAATGATGGTCTTTTAATAAAAGAGTCCTAATTATATATATAAAAAAAACATTCCAGCCTTGTATACATACATGCTGAATATCGTTATTATCATAAAAAAACAACCGAATGTCGAGGCGGGGGGGGGGGTGTAGTGAGGGATGCAAATGCGTCCCGTGAAGTAATTGGCGTGCAGGTACAGATCCCTTGGCAGTTGAAATTCGATTTTAGAGCAGACCGTAGCGCCGCTGTCAGGGCTAAATTTCCGTCATAGCAGAACAGTAGGTGTTAAACCCTTTTCAATTGTTCAAACTTATTGAAATGTTTCACTACAATACATTGATTGGATTACGTGTTTGGGTGTTGGTGTGGTTGTGTGTATAAAACGAAGGACGAAGACCTACACCCCTGAAATGAAGACGTCAAACATACCCGAGAATAAAGACCTTAATACGTTTATTTAATTTGATCTGAATATTTCGAGTCTTTAAGTTTTCGGTCCTTATTTTATTTTATATACATCCGAAGTTGGGGTTCTAAAAGCTTTCATACTTTAAAATATATGATATATAGATATTTTGTAATCCACTTACCCTGGCATGTACCATCATTACAGTACCTCCCCTGTCCACAGCTTTGTGTACATACATTAACCCTATGTAGGTAGAAACAGATCAAGTTATGATATATACAGATTCAATTATATGTTGGAGAAACAATCCATAAACTGGATTTTACTTTGTATGTGAAAAATCAACCAAAGCGCTAAAAGTACACATATTAGTGATTTTAGTTATACAGGCTACAGTTAGTCGGTGTCCATATAATAAATGAGCCACATTGGCTTTAGTTCACTAATCAGGAAGTTCCGGGTTTGATCCCGGTGTTGACTGAGAAAATTCCTCAGGGTGGGTGGGGTGAGGGTTCTTGCAGGGAACAGAGTCTATCTATATAGTAGTTCGGAACTTCGGATGGTGATGAAAACCCGACTCTCTGTGTACACGTTATCGTCCCCGTAAAAGAACCCTTGAAATAAGAGTAGACCTTAACGCCGCTGTCCAGGAAAACTTTCATTCATATCACAATGCACGCCCGTCTTGATTGCAGAACAGTAGGACGTTAAACCCCACCTCATTACATTGCCATATAATAAACTGTAGAATGAAAGTGTCGCAAAATCCGAAATCTAAACCGATAAGAATTGTCCTTAGAAATCGAAGTTTCCTCTTGCTCTTAAATGTCATGTCATATAGGCCTAATATTTCCTACAAAACAGTGGTGTATGCTCGTCGTGCAGAAAGGTACATTTATAGCGAAGAGTAAAATGGTTAGGTCTTGTGATTCCAAACTCACAATGTTCTTCCTTTTCCAGACGACAAGAATACACAAAAATTGGTTCTTTTTTCGTGAACTTGATTATAGAGAAAACACAAACGACTTTATACTGGAAGACAAGAGGGTAAGAAGGCACGAAGGGGTACTTATCGGCTTCCATGCCTTATCCATAAATTTAAACTTACAGTTTATTGTTGACAATAGCTTGCTGTAAACAAAATCCATATTGACACTGTAAACAGTCATCGTGTTTACAATATGCGCATCCAGTAGAACATTCTATAAATATGAAAAATGTTTATAGACAAAACACACCAGTAGAACATTCTATAAAACATGTACAGTTACAGACAAACATACTACACTGTAAAATCCAGTACAACATTCTGTAAACAACGTGTACAGGTACAAAACATACCATAATGTAAATGTCAGAAGAAAAAAACCATTGGAATTCATTCCACCCAAATCATATTTAAGATACTTATACTTGCGAACTAAACTTATTAAAACCTTTAAAAAGTTTTATGGGCGTCATATTGACTTGATTGGTAAATATAACATGTCTCTCTCGGCTATTATTCTAGATATATTTAATTGACGCGTATACAATCTCCCTGATTATATCTGTCTACTACATCGTTAACACTGTTCATCACGTGCATTTTGCATACCGATAGTCTATTGGTCAATCACGCTATTTTACCGAGATTTCGCCTAATAGTTTGGATGCAGCTATGGCGGGTGTGGCGCCAGGCAGGGTAAGCTTACTCTTCCGGACACCTTTTACCACTGTTTGTCGTGTATTTTGTACACGGTGAACAGTCCATATGCTGATTACACTATTTTGCCTTATTACACTATTTTGCCTATACCGTTTTTTTAGGACTTCGAATTTTGTCTAATGGTTTGGATTGTTCGTACTTGGTTTTATTTTATTATGCTTTTTTCTTGAACATAACTTGGAATTCCATGGTCATGATCCTATAGATTTGGTAGAAATGTCAATCTGATTAATATACAGATCTATATTTCGTTTCGGTTTTTTATATTTTCGATGGCCTACACTACATGAAGTAAAGACAAGTAAAACGAAATTTTGAACTATAAAAACGAAACGAAATAGGATCTGTGTTTTAACCAGATTGTAGAAATGTTGGACATTAAACCCCCGTTCTATTTTAATTCTATTTCTAAATTTTGTCATTTTCAAATCTATCAAATTTAACGATAAATATGATCTCCAACCACATCAATGGCATCTGAATTTTTGTATTTGGTGTTAGCATATTATGTCAAGCCTCCCCAGCATCACGGCACTTTCCCCAGCGGCGTACCACTCTCTGTAGGCCAGGGGTTATAACTTCTGCAGTGATCGAGAGGGGTTATGCCCAAAGCGATAGAGACCCAAACTGAATATATGTTCATAAAACCTGGTAGGATAATTTAACCCATTAGAATTAAAATATAACATAATATACTTACGCGTTGATTGGGCGCCGCTGTATGATTGTGCAAACACTGCGGATGTGAGACTTGAACACACGAGGAAGGTGGCAAAAATCTGGACTTTCATGATCGTTGAAGTTCAAAATGATAACCTGTAGATTGTCACTGTAACCCAACCTCTTACTTTTATACTTAGCTTTAAAATAATAAAATGTTTCAATAAATATCAGAATTTATATACAAGATTGATCTCATGTGGATTTGCTAAATATGCTGACTTATGAATTGAACTTTTTGTTCTTAAAGTTTTCAATTTTAAACGTTTTCTGATTTTTAAATACCATTGTTGACACTAGTAACATGTTAAGATTTAAAGGCGAATTAGAAACCGCTGGGTTTATGTTCGTGGTGTAATGTTTTATTGTGTGTCTTATTCGACTACCAATAATTTGGTTTATGGTGACACGGACTTTTAATGTCATGTCAAATGTCATTGAAAAGCAAATAAAATGAAATGAAATGGGGTTTAACGTCCTACTGTTCTGCTCCGACTGAGCTAATGAAGACGGGCATAGGTCATACAGTGTGCCATGGGGGGGGGGGTGCCCTGAACGCGGAGCTACGGCCTACTCTTATATCGAATTCCAATGGCCATCCGAACGACTAGGCGTATAGGCAGCTGTCCTTGTCAGTCTTGCGCCACTTAAAGGCCCGGTCACACTGCACTTACGGATGCAAAGAGGATGTAAAACGGGGGAAAAATGTGCCATCCGTTTGAAAACGCCATGCATCCATTGTGTACTCATTTCATACGTGTTTCATACGCTCTATCCATCGAGCATCCGTTCACTTTGATTTCATCCGCGCAAAAAGTTTTGAGCTGCACAAAACTTTTATAACGGATGAACTTTCTGCCGTGTACGATGTAAATGCGCGACATATACGAGCACCAAACGTTCCATGTCCGTTATCATCCGTTAAACGTCCACTGTATCCTCTCTGCATCCTCTGGGCATCCTCGCAGCTCACATCCGCTCCAGCTGAAAACGGAAAGAGGGAGGAAAAATAAGGTACATGGAACGTCTATACATCGTTAGTAGCACGGAAATAGAAAAGATGTAAGCATATACATCTCGTATATAAAGTTTTCAAAACGGACAAAGCGTTTGTATCTGGGATGTATCTGGTATATTGAAGGATATGTCTGGAGTTTGTCTAACCACTTCGGAGCTGTCTTCCACTTCCATCCGCTTTCATCCGCTAGGCTTCCGATGAACATCCATTTAACATCCCCGCTACATACTTCCCACGTTCGTTCTTTTCCGTTCTGTTTTCGCAAATTTTCGTCAATTTTGTCCATTTCTGGAGCGGATGAAAACGGACGTAGCCATCCCCGAAATTTTGCTCGTCCGCTGTGTCCTTTTTGCATACGTTTTGTGTCCATCGGCCACTGGGACCGGGCCTTAAAGGGTAACCCACGCCGAAAAATCCCAATGAACTTTCTCGGCCAACACCGCTATTAAACCTGATTCTGAAATAAATCCAAGTAGGTACATGTATAAATAACTGGAAGGGATTTGGATTGGTTGTTTTGGCCTGCTTTATAATTTAGATCAACATTCAAAACTGTTACCAATATTTAAAATCTGTAGTCTACTTTCGCAGCTTTAAAATCTTGTGGAGTTACATCGGCAACGACCATTTGCCGTCTTCTGTGATTTCTTTGCCACTACTGACACAGTTTGGTTTCCCATTGTCAGCGTTGCAGGTCGGAGGGCCTGGCAAAAGGCAAAAACCAACGTACAGTCGCTTGGATGAGGTGTACACTTAGAAGAACCCTTGGTAGTTGGAATAGCGCCGTATGCCCGTCTTCATTATCCCAGTTTATGCGGTTGTTTCTTGTCCGTGTGTTTTAAATTAACCTTTGAACCAGATTTTCAGTTCTTTCAGTTACAAAGAAAACATTCCGCAAATGTTATGCCTGTAATTTGCAATACCAATTAAAATTTTACCAGTGCATATACTTTGATTTAATTGCACTGTATTGCCACTCAACATTTCCTTTAGACTGAATAATGGTGCTTATAATAGTAGCGGCTATACTAGCGGGAAGCACGTTTGGTCCACTGCATTGAAAGAAAAAGTTTGGATTGAACAGTTGGAGGATACAATTCACCGGACACAATTTTGTTGTCTAATAAAACATCGTTTGTGTTTTTTTTCTTTAACAGTTGAAGTATATTTGATGTGTAGGACAGCACAAATTGTAAATTGGCTACCGTTTTAAAGATGAAGGCCCAAAACTCAATAGCCATTCGGATAGGACGAAAAACCGCAGTTCTGTGTACACCTTGGCGTGTACATAAAAGAACCCATGACAGAACATAGTGCCAATGTAGGGGCAAAGTTTCCCTTATAGCACACTCCATTGCTATGTAGGGGCAAAGTTTCCCTTATAGCACACTCCATTGCTATGCCCATCTTCATTAGCCCCCCCCCCCCCCCCAGTCTAAATTATCTCATTTAAAGATACAGTATGCAAGAGATAAATCTGTCTATTGCAGGTTTTTTTCTGGCTTCAAATGTTATATAATTATTATTTAGAATTTTATTAACATTACACGATCATAATCAAATCTCTAGACCATCCAATCTCTTGGATTTTAAGTAGATTAGAACACCACGGCCATTTAAGTGTTTAATGCTAAAATAAGATATTCTAGACTTTGTCTCAAATGCCAAGTTTGGTAGCTACAATGGTAAACAATTTACACACAGTATAAAGAAATTTGACTGTAATTTTCTATATATTCACAATCTATATTTGTACTATCATAGCAAGAAATGTCAGCTATTTATCTAAACCTTGCATAATATATCTTTAAACAGTCAATAAACTAAAACTACAACATGGTTTACAGAAACAATGAGTTTATTTTATAGCCACTATAACAATAATATATTTATACAATAAGACATGTGAATATCTAACAAGCATTTACATGATATTTTAATACCTCAGTCTTTAATTTAAAATATCTTCTTTACAGCACTTTATAAAAATTGACTATACCCTATATACATTATATACAATTCATTTTATACAACTGGCCTTGGTAAGATATAGCTTTCTTCATTAAGGAATAACTGTCTTGTATTAAATACTTATTGTGGTACATGCATATCAAAAGAGGATGATATAAAGTGTGCAGGGAATTATCATCTTTTTTGTGACGACAACCCCTATCACTTTTATTCTAGCATAAACAAAACTTGTCAAAGTTATTGCCTATAGAGGCTCTCATCGATTTTATCAATTACAATTGAATTATATTTTCAAAAACCATAGACATCATTTATCAATTTTGACTAAGAAAGCAAATATCCAAACAGATCTTTATATCTTATCATGTGTAAATATATCTTAATTTTATTAGCTAGCTACTATTATTTATATAAATCAGACCTTATCTAAACACATTTACATTTCAAACGTTACCCAAAAAAAGCAAAACAAACAAGTATTAATAACAAACAATGGAAAAAAAATGGTAAATTGAATTTATAAAACATAAATGGTGTATTAATAACACTGAAAATGCATTTCAAAACAAACTAATATATTTTATTTAAAAAAATTAGATAGAATTAAAACTCAATTTTCATCTTAAAGCTATTCTTTATGGAATATGTGTAAAATGTTTGGATGGCATTAATATGTTAGTACAATATCAACCCTGGTTTGTGTCCAATAACCTTAGAAATCTTTTATGTTGACGCCTAAAGATACAGGGAATTTCAGAAAATATGGCCATGATGCAATTACATTTGGAGATTTCAAAAGTTACACAACAATTCTCGAATGCTTCAAGTTGCCAATATCTTTTATCAATTGTTCCTTTGAAATACCCAGATGTCACACCATCTTTTCTGAAAACCACAACTGAATAATTTCTGTGACACTATATAAGGCATTTTTACTGACCAATGATTACCCCAAAATGATTTGCATTCAATCTAATTTTCATCTTTAACATACATCTAATACAAATCAACGAATTTACCACACTGATTCCGAAAAGATTACCACAAATCACTAAATCACCTCTAAGTGCAATTTGACGATTTGATCGGGTGATCACATGTTTTTTTTCACCAATGTCCAGCCACAAGAACTGTTTACAGCTAATCAGCACATTTAATGAATTCGCCAAGTTCATTTGAAATCGACTATACTGTCACATGAGATCTCCACTAAATTCAAATCGATTTAGCAAGTCAATAAAAACGCCTATAGAAACATCTGGAGTAGGTAGAAAACAATTACATGTGTTCAACTATGAAAACATAATAATCCATGTTCTTCTACCTTTTGAAATGTAATAATGATCTGGTTAGATTTTATGCAATGAAGACTAGAAAAACATTTCTTTAGAAACAACTAAATAGCACACCTACTTTTCCATTGACAAACTTTTTAGAGCAGCAAAAGAGGAGATTAAAAAACATGATTTTCGTGCAAAATAATGTCACCTTCCAGTGTTTATTAGCTATTTGACTTTGATAAAAAAATTTTTCCTCATATAGCTCGTCTAAAACAGTGATCAATGGAAAAAAGTTGTACTAGATGAAATCTAAGATACATCTTGTTGATTTTCCCCTGATTGTACATCACCAGATGTGGGTTGTTGTATAAATATCTGTTGGGCATTTTGTCCTAATGGCAGACCTTGTAGCTGAAGTAATGGCTGAAACAGACAAGTAAAAAATTAAATAATACCAAGAAAACATTAACTGATTATCTTGTCTAACATCCCTATATTACCTGATTTCCATGATTGCAGGCTAAAAGATTTATTCTTTTCCTGTTATCTATTTGAACATAATATAACTAATACACTAGATATACGTGTTTAATACCAACCATGATAACTATTCTACAACATGGTAGCTTTCAAATTTCAGTTAGCTCCTGTTTATTGAAAATTGAATATATATCAATTTTTGAATGGAATTACAAATAATTCGTTTTAGAAATACATTTATTATAATTTTGTATTCAGATCATTAATTTGTTGACAAAATGACAAGAAAATGACAAATTAATTGGCAAATTAAGAATGAAAGGATATATGCACTACGCCCACAATCTAAGGTAAAGTATTTATAGTAGAATGAAACCTGGTAGAAATATATCTTTAACAGAACCATATTCAGTTTGAAGAATAACTTCCCAAAAAGTTGCCAACCCTGCAACTTACTGGACCTCATGAACATCCATTCCTGTTTGCAGCAACAAAAAGGGATTCAAAAACTGTAGTGTCACTCATCTTTTTGTCACTGTATCAAAGAACAATCATAACTCTGAGAAGACTTGATATATGACACTACAGCTAACAGAGAGCGAAATGGGTTTAACATCCACTCGACACAAACTAGGTCATTTTGGTACTAACATGGTTCAATTTTATTAAATAATTTGCTTGTGCATTGGGGTTTTTAAAAGTAGGGAATCGAAACCCTTCAACTTGACTGAATGACAGACCTTAGGATCTGAGTACACATTAACCATTCAGCAACCCAATCCCAGAGATAATATACAATAATATTTTACCTGATTAGCTTGTGTTGTAAATGACTGTTGTGTTTGATCTTGTGCTTGTTGTACTATAATTTGTTGTTGTTGATTTGTTTGTTGTTTACCCTGTATCTGTAACTGTATAGCTTGTAATTGTTGGGGTGTCAGCTGAATCTAAAATATATAATCACATATTAGCGCATCCATTTATAAAAAAAAAAACAATCATAGGTGATTTGTTCCCATTATTACCTCAACTACACACAGAGAGCACTTTTTATGATTGAAAAACTATTAATATTTATTGCAAGAAAAACAAGATGATGATGATCGAAGCGAGGCCTAAAATTCAATCGCTAAATTCTCGGTTCAGAGTGGATCAATTTGACTGAAAGTTTCAGCAAATTACCTTTACATTATCTAGTTTTAAGTATTATAGTGAGAACTACCAGCTCTTTATCTAATTTCCCATAATGCATCTTTAATACTTCACAGAATACTATCATTAAATAAAGGGAAGAACTTCCCACTAAACCAATCCCTGGCAAAAGGTCACAAATGAAAAGATTGCAAAATCATATTCTAAAATACAGGAAGAAGTTTCGGCTCTCCTAGATCATGTCTCAGATATCACTTTTGTGGAAGCAAGGTACTACTACTATCCTTACCAGTGCTTTGTATAGCACAGTATCTGACCATAACATAATTTGGCCATGGCAAGTAATTCAAGGGAAATAACTTCACTTCAATAAAACATGCACTGTTTAACAGTTTAACAAAGATCCCCATAATAATTCCCCCTCATTGGTTTAGAATGTAGTTTCTTCCATTTCCCCCCACCCCTACCCCTGCTTTTACATGGCATTTTTATTGTCCTTTTGGTATAGACATTTTTTGTCAGGTTTTAGTAAATATTGGTGATTTTGTAACAGAACTGGTTATATTGAAAAGTAGAGCAGATACGTCAATGTCCAGTTTGTTTGTCTCAAACATGCTTTATAAAGAGGTAAGTTAAAGCTTGTCAAAGCAACAAGAATCATTATATAGCCTATACTCACTGGTATATTTTGTATTTCACCGCTAGGTGTAACAACTTGTTGATAAACTTGGGTTTGTTGTTGTTGTGGCTGTTGCTGTTGTTGTTGCTGCTGTTGTTGTTGTAATTGGATGGTTTGTTGTTGGGCTGGCACTGCGACCTGCTGAACTTGTACTTGACCTAATTGTTGTTGAGGCGATTGAATTTGTATAATCTGCTGTCCAGCTTGGGTTGTCTGTAAAGAAAAAAAATTTCACGGTAAAAAGTAAGTGTGGTTGATAAAAAAATATACAGGAAATGTTTGTTAGCTACATTGTAAAGCAAATCTACATGTTAAAATGACCTACTCTTCTGCACCAAACAGACTAATAAAGAAAGGCAAAAGCCATGCAATGTGCTATAAGGACAATTTTGCCCAGACAGTGGCACTACGACTGACTCATATCGATATAAGAGTAGGTGTAGCACCACTGTCCGAGTAAAATTGTATGGCATATGCCCGTCTTCATTAGCCCAGTCAGAGCAGAATAGTAGGACGTTAAACCCCATTTCATAAACTGGTGGATCTCAGTGTTTATGATGAAATGAATTACTAGACACTTTTTCCTTCCCAGGCCCTCCATCCTGCCAATACATGAAAACTTACCCCTCCTGAATTACCCAATATCTGGAATGGTTGTTGTAGTATTTGTCCACCTAAAGTATAAATAATAAATATTCTATAAAATCTTTAACAAGCAAATATATTTATTATATAAAACTGACTGAGCATTACCAACTTCAACCATGCAAACATTCCACCCAGAAATAGTAACAAGGCTTAAAGTCTAGACTGAGATCAGACTTTGAATTTAATAAAATCATTGCTGACCATCCAAAATGAATAAATACATAAGATTATGCCACTTTTTCATATTGGATAAGGGTAAAATTTGAAGATTTTACAAGAGACGTAGTGTATTTTTTAAAAAAACAAAAAAAAAACAAAAAAACAAATGTCAATTTTATTTACCTGGTAATTGTATGGTAGCTTGTTGTTGTGGTTGTTGAACTTGCGCTGTTTGTTGTGGCTGCTGTACTACTTGTGTCGCCTGTTGTGTCGTTGGTTGAGCTGCCACCTGTGTTTGTTGTTGTTGTTGTGCTTGCTGTTGGGCTAACTGTAGATAATAGTTGATTTGGTCTGGAAGTGATTGTGAATTTGCACGGCCTGTGTCATCCTAAAAGAAATTTGCCATTAAATATACATGTACATACACAGTAGGGCAATACATAAATCCATCAAGAATACCAGCAAATTATCAAAATATTATTCTAAAATACAAAACTAAATTTCAGATTGATGGGAAATGCTCTATTTCTTGTTCAAAGAAACCATATTTTTCTTAATATATTCAAATTCAACACTAACTTGTCTTTTAGCTGGTTTCATTTCATCTCTAGGAACAATATCAATCAGGAAATCAAACTGATCAAACTTAGAGATAGCCATAGCGATATCATTTCTCTGAAAAACAAAATTAAACTATTACTGATCTACTTTAAGATATCTTAACCAATTAGGTACTCATGGTCAGCTATTCTTAATTCAATGAGATTGAAAACTAAGTGAGAGCATTGACTTAAATCTAACTGGATACTCTGAGACAATTATTCTTAATTCAAGGAAACTGAAAACTAAACGACAACATCAACTTACTTCTTTTAGTAATAGGACATTGTGCCATTTATTTTTTAAAGCAGTGGACACACTAGCCAAATGAGTGGACAGACCAGGCGAATTCTCCGCCCGAATCATGCGTCGATTGCACAACCTTTCACGTCACATGATTAAACATGGCAGCGACCATGTCTTCAAACAATTATGTGACTTCTCGACATCAGTGGTGATTGGTTAATGAATTCTAAAAATCGGTTGAATGCTTTGGCGAACCGGACACATTAGGTGAATATGTTCGTTGGAATGCAAATTCGGCGAATATCAAACATGTTTGATTCGGCCAATAGAAATTCAGCTGAATGACAGTGGACATAGCAAGCTGAATTTTGGTGGCGATTGATTCGTTGGCTAGTGTGTCCACCGCTTTACTTGATAAAAATGCAAATATTTCTTGATCGGCAACATCACTTTTTGGACATGTAAATTACTAATCGAGTTGATTTTTTAAAATTCTTTAATATACCTGTAATGTTCTTCTTTTATTATCTTCTGTATGAATCCATGCACGTAATGATATCTCACTAATAAATATCTCTGCAGCTTTAGCAAATAGTACAGGAGCTTCAGCGCTGATCATCTGTTCACAAAAAAAAGGTGTTGATGTGATTTTATGTTTATCAATATCTTTAATTATAGTTTAAACAGAATTCTTATTCTTGTAATCTACCAACATTTATTTATTTCATTTTTTTTTCCATAAAATATTTGGCCAGTTTTTCCAGATTTCTGAAAACAAAATTTTAACGATTTGCTATTCATCATAGCTGTTTATGGATGTCTTAAACGATTCATGATCAGGGACCTGTTTCACGAAATTTTAACTAAGATAAAATCCAAATTTTAGTATTTTGATTGGATAATAGTAGGTTGATTTTAGTGCTTAGCCAATCAAAATTGAAGTATTCACTAAAATTTGGATTTTATCTTTAGTTAAGATTTCGAGAAACAGGGCCCAGGTCAATAATCCTATATTTATATTGGGTTCTATTAAATAATCTGGTATACCTTGACATCTTCATCCAACTTCATGATCTTCTTTATTCTAGCCAAGGGCAGCTCTTGATTCTTCAAATCATTCTGTAGAATTAAGGAAATCAATAGAATTTAGTACTTGTTTTTAAATCTTTTTGTCTATATACCATGGCTAAATTACAATTGTTAATATATATAAGTAAAATTGAAGTACCGGTATTTTAGAAAAAAAAAACATATAATATTCAAATTATGGCTAGTACTTTCATAGATATACTTTCATAAAGATAGTTTGCCAGGCAATGAAACATGCGCCCACGACAGCTAAATCATCCGAGCAGTCAACAACGGTTGTCGTATATTTAATCCTTTATAGGTAATGGGGGGGATTTACAAGACAATTTCATATAGATAAGATTATAATTTTTGTCCTTTGAGGGTTCACAAGGTGCTGTAACTGAAACAAGGGCCTGAACTCTGGAAGTAATATAAAAAATGAAATGAAATGAAATGGAGTTTAACGTCCTACTGTTCTGCTCCTAACCTGGGCTAATGAAGACCGGCATACGCCATACAGTGTGCTATGAGGGAAATTTTGCCCGGACAGCGGCACTACGGCCTACTCTTATATCGAATTCCAACTGCCAAGGGATCTTTTACGTACACGCCAATGTGCACACGGGACCTCGGTTTTTCGTCCCATCCGAACGATTAGACAGCTTTCCTTGTCAGCCCCTCCGTCCTGCATCACTGACAAGGGAGAACCACGCCGGAAAATCTGGATGAACTTTCTCGGCTAATGCAGGGATCGAACACCCGACCTCCAGGCTGGAAGTAATATACAAAAATTGTTGAAATTCAATAGACTTCTTCAAATGATGCATATAAATTTCAACAGACATGTTGGTTTATGCATACTCTTTTCACGACAATAATTGCCTGATTGTATAACGTAGAGTGTTCACAGGGTTCAACAAAGTGAAACAAGGGCCATAACACTTAGACATAATACAGGAAAATTGCTGAAATTCAATAGGCCTCATTGTGTCACTAATTTAAATAATGCACATAAATTTCATACAGATCGGATGATAAATTTTGTTGTTAGTGCATTCACAGGGTTCGACAAAGTGAAAGTCTAACTTTAGACGTAATTAACAGAAATTGCTGAAATTCAATAGGCTTCTTCGTTTCACTAATCTTAAAGATGCATATAAATTACATACAGATAGGATAATTTTTGATGTTGGAATATTCACAAGGTGCAATAAAGTGAAACACAGGCCATAACTCCAGAATAAATGAACAGAAATTACTGAAATTAAATAGGACTCTTCATCTCAGTAATGTTAACAAGATATATCAATTTCAAAATAAGATGATAAATGTAGTCTGTAGTTTGTTCACAAGAATGTGTGGACGAAAGATCGACAGGCAGACAAATGACAAAATACGACCACATGTCCATGTGGATGTATAAAAAGGGAAAAACCCATTACACCCACCATCCCCAATATTATGATTGAGAAAAATACCTGTAAGACTAATAATTACATCAATGAAGAAATTAACACAAAACAAGGAGGGGAGCCTTAGTTAGAAAGCTTCCCCTCTGTATTAATCCATCGAAGGCTTTGCACGTTTTCAAACTTACTGTCTACACAGTGACCAAATAACTTCAAAGTTTATAACTCAAAACACCTCACATTTTCATATAAAGTAGCATCATGATTGGGCACTTTTTGTTAGAATTTACTCCCTCTAACTTTTAAAATTTATTGTTATTCAGTAGAATGTCAGTTAAGTCATTCCCAAGCAAATTCGTCAACACAAAAAGTAGCCAAGTCGTCCATAAATATCAAAACTCATTGGTCAAGTTGTCCACATGGCATTGGTTGACTCGTCCACACAATATTGTTTATGTTAGGGATACAGAAATATGTTGGTTGAGTCGTCCATACGACATTGTTTATGTTAGGGACACAGAAAGTATTCATAGTGAGTATAAATAAGTATACTGAGTAATGCTTTACCATCATATCCACACGGTTTTCACAGTGTTTGATGACTATAATTTTCTTTACGTCAATTGGCAGATGGTGATTCAATTCAGATTTCATATGAAACCGATTATGTCTAAAATCATAACGCCAATCAACAAAAAATATGAGTTTACTTTATTACAAAAACATTGGTGAGCTAACCATTATGTCTAAGATCGTATAACGCTAATCAACAAACGATACTAGTCTATTTTTATTACAAAAAGATCAGTGAACTAATCTTGGCCCGTGATTGGTCAACCAGTTTAGTTGATTATTGGTACAAATAAAACAATTATAAACAACCAATGAGTACAACTTATTTATTCCATACAATTAATTTGTGTATGAGTCAATTATTAGTTGTGGACGACATAACAGTTGTGGACGACTTAAAGGTGGACAGATTTGCTTGTGGATGATATAACTGGCACCCATTCAATTTGGTTAGTGGACTAAATAAAAGAAATCTACAGTAATACACAGTATTACCATATACATGATGTCCCTTTAAATCAAATTGTAAAGAAGCTTACAGATGTCATACCTCTTTAGGATTTTGTATTTTGTTGATAACTTTAGGCCAGAAGTCTGTGAGCATCTGTTGTGCTTCCAGAGAAACACCTGATATGGGTGCAGGACTTGCAAATTGTTCTGCCATGATGTTTGATTGTGTTTATTGGTACTACCAGCCAGCAACTAAAAAAATAATGATATATATAGAGGAAGTACAGTACAGACAAAATTGTTGTCTGGAGTCAGTCTGGTGTGTTGTTATTTAGCTTCATCTTTATTCCATTTTCTCTAAAAAAAAATCAATGCATTACTAATTTCGGAAGGAAGAGAGTAGATAGGACTATCTTCCTTATCAAATGGCGGTTATAATAAATTGTTAGTTTCATTTTACAATTACTTGAGTTGAGCAGTTTCCGTGATGATTGACAAGGAAATTAAGATGTCGAAGTGGTGATCTGAATATGTCATGAGCAATCCATAATGGCTGGCGACCAAGATTGAGGGCACGGTCCATGGTGGGGGTTAAATAGTTGGAACTGTCAACAGACATATTTGATTGTAATCGTAACCACGTGTAGCTATTTATCCTATTAAGATGAATGAACAATTTTCGCGAATGGATGAGTTGTATAAGAAACTTTGGACCAATAAATTGGTCCGGACTGCACATCCAATCATTTTACTGACCGCCCACCAATGGGAACAAAGAAGAGAACGGTCGCATTTTCAGGGGCGCTTCGTCATTTCATCGTTTTATGACCATTTATTATAGTTCATTCCATTTCTAAAGACATAATGATAACATTTATCGACAGTTCATGTTGATAAGCCCAAATACTAACCTATTATTCCACTTTTCCCAAGAATTTTTTTGTCGATGCAATAAACGGGAAATATGGCGGATTTTTGATTGGTCGTGACCTGCTTTCTTGATCACGCATGTGCAGAACCTTACAACTTCCGGTACAATGCAAGCCTAAACGAAATAAGAAATCTAAACGGTTATATATTACCATGCAGGTAATTATTAACGACATTTTCCTATAATACATTATAAGGCCAAGGTTAAATGTAACAGTAAGCGATATACCTAATGGTAAATGGCCATAATTTACCTATTGCTATTCATTCCCACGGCACAATTCAATCTGTAATTTGGACAACTGACACGACTCTGGCTCTGGACAACTATTACTGTCCTACTCCTAGGCCTAGCAGTAGCACTGCCAGGGCCAGTAGCAGCTTAAACACGAATTTTCATGAGCCAGGCCAATGTAAAATATATTTGAAAGGATAGTCTGCCCGCACAGATTTTAGGTCAGATTTGTTCTGATCCTTTTTATTGTAAGATTAAGCAGATATTCTGATGGAATCGTGAAGGCTATAGGCCTATAGCCTATAGCCATAATGGGCAGGGTTTGTTTGTTACTGTTAGTTAAGACTAAAAAGAGGTGCATGGTTCCTTAACGGTCTCTGATACGTGATAGGATGCTGTCCGCTGACTGATCAGCGGGGGTGATACAGGCTTCCAATAGAGCTGGTTGCATTTCTGAAAAAGATCTCTGGATGAAAATTCAGGTGTATGCCATCGGTGCCATGTAGTCAAGTGCACAAAAAGCTGTTCGCAAAGGCCAAAGCCCAAATATAGATATTGCCAAATGTTACCAGAAGGAAGGAATTTACAACTGTTTATTTTTTTTACACTTAGTCATTTATAATAGCTTTAATGTATGTAATATTATTGTAATACTTTATTTACTCTGAGCCCTAGTTGAATTTGGAACTAATACTGGTATTATTAATTTATACGATACGATACATTGTTTTGGTTTTTTTTAAATATTATTTTATAATAGGCCTACCTATATTTACATACCTTTGCACTGAATAAATCATGGTTTTTATTTAATCTCATTTTTTTTTTTTAATGTGATCTAGAAAGAAGAAAAACAATTAGAATCATCGCTAGCTGATATTACAGCAAAAGTAGCAGACATCAAGAATGCTTTGGCTTCATTTTTATATAAGCTGGAAAATGAATTTGCAACATTGAATTGGTATGAAAAATATATTAGCCTGGCCCATAAATATTGTACTCCCTAAAAGTGGTATGATGCCGACTCGCTAGCCTGGAAGCCGTGGGTTTGCTCCCAGGGATAGCTGAGAAGTTCATCGAGATTTTCCAACGTGGTTTCCCCTTGTCATTGGTGAAGAATGAAGGGTCTGACAAGGACAGGATGAAAAATTGAGGTCCCGTGTACACATTGGCATATATGTAAAAGATCCATTGGCAGTTGGAATTCAATATAAGAGTAGGCCGTAGCACTGCTGCCCAGGCAAAAGTTCCCTCATCGCACATTGTATGGTGTATGCCCGTCTTAATTAGCCCAGTCAGAACATGAATTCATGTAGATCAGCAAACATTCCCCAGTTGTACGTGACAAGGAGTAGGGTAGCCTGTCCAACCCTGTGGATTTTCTCTGGATCCTCCGGTTTCCTCCCACTGCCAAAGACCCCTATGCGCAAGCAAATTGTTGAAATAAAATTGAACCATATGTTAGTCCCAAAATGACCTAGTTTGTGTCGGGACTCGAGTTGACGTTAAACCCCATTTCTCTCTTTCTCTCCTATATGTTTACATTAATATTTTTAAAAATATCTTTTACAATAGACATCACATTGATTTGCTCTTAAAAATATATTTTTTATTACAGGCCAACTATGCTGGATAATTTTGCCCTGATATCAAGTAATATGAATTCACTAAGTAGAGTATTAAGAGGAGATAGAATACCGGCATTAAGAAATTTCACACTTTTTCCAGTTTTATTATCCCCAGATACAGATCAAGAGCTAGCGGTAATAATTCCGCTTTTACTCAATATAAGATTAAATGGTGCAAATGGCCATTTATATAGATCTCAATTATAATTGGTAAATGGACAGAACAGTTGATTAAGACTACAGTGTCAAAGCATCTTTATATAAATGACTTCAATGTCCCTAACCAGCTGTCAACTTGTTCAAATTTGCAGAGTCCATCCAATAAAGATTATAAATGCATATAAATTAAACAATTTGACCAGGGCCCTATTCATAAAGAATACTGATAGTTCATTGGCTGAGTAGTAAAATTGTAGAACAAATTTTAGTGCTTGGCTAATGAAAAAGCTGCATTCTTAAAATAATTAGATTTTAAATTTTGTTGAATAAGGCCACAGTGATATCAAACTTTAATATCTTGTTTGACATTAGATTTTATAAGTCGTATATTTTAAATTTGTGTTATTTTTATAGAAATTAACAGAAGGTAGATTATTTATGTGTAATCATGAAGTTGTACCAGATTATTTACGCACCAAACCAGAGACAGAGGTAGAAGACAAAATAAATCAACTTCACACAAAGGCAAACAGTATTACTTCGGATAATGCACAGGTAAATTTGTGTATTGAATTGTATTTTGTTCCTTTATTTCATGTAAGTTTAATTTCTCATTTAATTTTATTATGGTATTAACTGTATATTTTACCATCCAGATTTGGTTTAGAATTATCAATTATAATAATAATAATACTAATAATCGTTTCCTATAGCGCTGAACATTCAGTCAGCCATTATTGGTTGATTTCACATTACAGACTTAAGGCAAAATATAGTCTTTTTCACTAATCTGAAACAATAGGCAGTTTATTATGTGACAAGCACAACTGGAATTCAACAGGAAAAATTGATATTAATGAAAATCAAATTGGTGGCTTTCAAGTAACATTAATAATGACAAATTTTCCTTTAGAAAATGGAAGTATAGATACATGTAGATACATTTTCTTTGTTATTATTTAACAGAAACAACTGAATAATCTGAATAAAATAACAAGTAATATACTAGATATTATCAACTCCTACAGGGAAGAATGGGATAATGATTCAAGTAAGTATTTTTTTAAAATAGCCCTCCTGCTTGTTGATTTCAATGTATTTGTTTGGTGGTATGATAATCTGTTTTTGTTCAAAAGTTATGTCCATAGATAAAGTCTTCTTTTGAGATATAACTGATTTTGTGTTCCTACATGAATGTTGACACAGTAAGCCAAAAAATCTAAAAAAAGTCAACTGAAATTAGGACACAAAATCACTTCGGCTTGCTTTATTGGTTCGAAATCAAATATTTTTAGTTCGTTTAAAGGGGAGTTATGTCCCTTTGCTATTATTATTACTTTGTTGGTGTGATGCATTTGTGGTGGTCATGAAAGGCATTGTGTTTGAAGTTTTAGTAAAACTGTACACATATTTTTATTATTTGTGCAATGCTGAATAGAATTTGACCAGGGCAGCAGTAGTAGACAACTCTAAATTAGTATCTGTATTGAGGTCAGTCCTCTTCCACTTGTATGCGCAGCTGATGAAAGTCAACTATATACTTATAATTTTAATCATTAATTAGCTCGGCCCGAAGTCATCCCTTTCAGTGATAGAAGTGGCCAAGTGAATATTTATTTACTGCTGATCAGCTTGCCGTCCTGGCAAGGGGAAATTGTGCCAGGAAATCTTGAGCACCTTCCTCAGGCAACATCAGGAGCGAATCTGAGACCTGGTTAATAAGCCAGTGTCTTACTCACTGAGCTGCCATGGCTTCCAATGTTTATACAATATAGCAACCACATTCACTATGTTCATATAAACATTCACATCAATTATGCTCCGTTCAGCTGGTCATATAAACATTCACACCCATTATGCTCAATTAAGATGATTTTTATACGCCCACATTTTCATGTGGACGTTTATTGTCGTCGGCCCTGTCCATTCGTGTGTCCGAACGTTTGTTGTCATTGTTGACAATTTTATTGACACTATGAAGAATCCATTTATATGCCTAGCTGTTCAAACTGTCTATAGTAAAATATTTTACTTTCTTTAACAGAACAAAAAACTCAACAACCACAGACTTCTTCCCAGTCAGAGACAAATACATTAATAGCAGCGATATCTATGGGAAAAGGTTTACGTCTACAATCACAGATGCCTCAACAATCGCAACAACCTAGTCCTGGCATGCAACAGCAAAGTCAAAAACCAAGTTAGTTTGTTTTTATACGCCCACAATTACAGGTCACAATTTTTATCCGATTTCAACGAAACTTGAAATATAGGTTTATCACCCTAAGATCTTGGTTCCTTTCGATATTGGCATGTATCGGACTGTAACTTCATGGATTATGGCCCCTGATTGTACGAAAAATCACGTTTTTAGCATGTGAACACTGTAGAGGTCACAATTTTTATCCGATTTGGTTCAAACTTGAAATGTATGCTTATAACCCAAAGATCTTGGTTCCTTTTGATATTCAAGCTTCCTGAATTATGGCCCCCTGATTGTACGAAAAATTGTGTTTTTAGTTTGTGGACCCTATAGAGGTCATAATTTTTATCTGATTTAAAAAAAACGTATTATTATATCACCGTTAAACCCTAAGGACGGCGGAGTTCGAATTTCGTGAAAATCGGCTCAAAACTGACAGACATAATGGTCGCCGTTCGTTCTCAAATAGCGTAAAAATATGGTATATCAAGGTTGTGGACCCTATAGAGGTCACAATTATCTGATTTTGTTGAAACTTGAAATGTAAGTTAATAACCCAAAGATCTCGGTTCCTTTCGATATTCGCGCATATCAGAACGTAAATTCCTGAATTATGGCCCCTGATTGTACGAAAAATCACGTTTTTAGCTTGTGGACCCTATAGAGGTCATAATGTTTATCCGATTTAAAAAAACGTATTTTATCACCATTACACCCTAAGGACGGCTGAGTTTGAATTTCGTGAAAATCGGCCCAAAACTGATAGACAAAATGGCCGCCCCTCATTCTCAAATAGCGTCAAATTATGGTATATCAAGGTTGTGGACCCTATAGAGGTCACAATTTTTATCCGATTTTGTTGAAACAGGAAATGTAAGTTTATAACCCAAAGATCTCGGTTCTTTCGATATTTGCGCATATCAAATTGTAATTTCCTGAATTATGGCCCTTGATTGTAGGAAAAATCACATTCTTTTTAGCTTGTTCTCTGGCCATCTCTCGAAAATGTGGGCGGATCCTGCCTGGCAGCCGCTGGTTAAATGCCAACATTGAAATGTTTTATATGGTCATCAGTCCAGCTTCTGTTCATTGGTCTGTCCATAATTTATTGTGAACCCTCTAGACACAAAATTAATAATCAAAACAAACAGTCTTTTTAGAAATTATATACCATATTTAATGAGAAGATTAAAACTTCCAGAGTTATTGTCCTTGATTACTTTGTGAATACACTATGCTATTTTGCCTTTATTTATTGAAGAATCACTGACAATTTTTCTTTCTTGACGACATGGTGGCTCTGATTAAATGTATGTTTCATTGCCTGGCAACCTAATGTAAAAATTTATTGTTATTGTCACAAAATATTGCGTTGAATTCAAAGTAAAATATCAATTCTAAGCTTATCAAATATTCAAAATTTAGATAAATAATTATGATTATGCAACCATTAAAATAATTGTCTTGAGATAAATTTACTGATAATTATTTATTTCAGTGCCTGTTGGTAAAATGCAGAGTTCTGTTAAGACAACAATTAGAGCTGGTTCTGCTGGTCATCCATATCCACGGCCCTGAAATCTAGAAGCAATTTTTCCTACTGGACAAATCTATAAACCTACACAAGCAAAATGGAATATGTTTTGTACTGTTGCCAGGTTATGTTGGGATTATGTCAAGAAGACTCATGGTTCAATCATGTAATATAACCATACACTACATGGTGCCTAACATACCCAAAGACAATCATGCATTGACATGTATTTATTTATTACTCAGAAAATGGATAACAAATTCCTTTTAAAAAGGTGGTTATTGCATCATATTCTGTTTGATTATTTACCAAGCTGCATATTACTATTACTTTTGTATAAAGAGGTATTGTTTCGTATAATCTATTGGAAAGCACAAATGTACATAAATAAATAAACAAATGGAGGAATAAATCAAGTAAAATTAAAATATGATTTTGATTCAATATTTCTTTTCAACCTGGCATGATCAAAATATGCCACTGTAATTTTGATATCCACCATGGTAGGTTCATCCATGTAAATCTTACTGCTTTCTTTTTTCTCTGTTTGCATGAATTTACTGTAGAGTTTTTGGTCTGGAATGCTTGGGATGGGAAGGAATTGGATTTAGATGTTCTGCGGGGTTTGGGGCTCATCATGATATTACTTCATAAATATTTTGCTGTCATCCTTAATATTATCTGGCCAAATTTATTATTCGTTTGTCAACTCCCCTCAAGATTTCTTTCATTCGACTGACATATCACATACATGAGCAAACGATTCCACAGAATATTATTGTCCAAGGCATAGAATGAATTTAATATTGAGGTCAATAAAGGAAAGAACCGTGGTCTAGAACATCTAAAGAAGGGGTTGTCTCCCTTTACACTTTAGCCACGGCCCCTAGGTCGAAATTTTCACAAAATGTTCACTTTTTGACAAAGCATTAACATTGGCATACAGGTAGACTTTGATGTCCTCTTCTAATAAGATCGGGCCACGTTCGATCTGACCTCATTTTCGGCCGCCATTTTGGATTCAAATTGGACGCTTCTGAAATATGGGATTTTGACTATTAGGCCACTACGATAGCATGTTCCTGAAGTAACGACTGCGAGTTTCACAACATCTGGCCGTTGCTTGTTTACTTCACAATTCCCGAACTTATAGCTATGTTATCTACAGACACCTGAGCAGTAGCGTCCAATCAGAGGTTGTGACATCGCGACCTCCACGGAAATCTTGACATTGAATAGCCTTGCAACTTGATTATCACAGGTAAACATTTTAGCTTGAAAGTGCGAGACTTGGTATTCGCGACGATCGAGGAATCTGATAGGCTTACAAGTTGGGCTTGTACCCAATCGAAATTAGTGCCGCAATATGCAGGGTATTACCTGAAGGTCTTGATAAGATATACATGTACGTAGTTAAAGCGAGATCAAGCCTTCTATTAAAGATGCTACGATAGAAATTCTTTGTACTTATATATTCCATCTTCAACTATGCAGTTCTACTTGTGGATGTCTTTATATATTACTCAGAACTATTGAAGAATTGAAAAGGAACCTAGATCTTTGGGATATAAACCTATATTCAAGTTTTGTCAAAATTGGATAAAAAATGTGACCCGTAGAGTGTCCACAAACTAATGTGAACGGACGGACATGGGCGACGACATAATACGTCCACATGAAAATGTGCCGGGGGAAAAATGCTAACCAATAGAGCGAATAACGCAGGGTGAAAACGATAAGTGGTCCTGAAATTAGATAGTTTTCACAAGCCGGCCAATCCCAGCAAGATTTGTACAAGATTTGTAGAGTTTTTAAAAGGTTTCCATGAAAAATTCCACTAATGGCTAGCACAGCTGTCTTTTTAAAACCTGTAGAGTGTTTACAAAGTTACGCACCGATAATGGCAATCATTGGCGAAAGGTTACTATTTCGAAATGTTTATATTTGCTGTCTGTTACATGTAGGAAGTCACGGTGGCTCAGTGAGTACATGTTCAATTTTGAGATGACCTAGAAAGTTCATTGGTTTTTCCGGCGTGGTTGCCCTTTGCTAGTGGTGCAGGATGAAGGTCTGGCAAAGGACAACATATAGTCGTTCGCTTGGGATAAAGAACAGAGGTCCCGGGTACAGATTGGCGTACACTTAAAAGAACTCCTGGCAGTTGGGATTCGATATAGGCTGTAGAGCGCTGTCCGGGCATAATTTCCTTTTGAGCGCGTATGCCCGTCTTCATTAGCCCAGTCGGAGTAGAACGTTAAACCCCATTTCATTTCTGATGCATAATTATGTAGCCTTATGTATTGTGACTTTTGTGCATTATAATGATACATTTCCACGGAATCTAATCATACGAAAATTATATCGACTTGTTTATCACGACGGTGAAAGTGCATTTCTATACACCCACATCCAGTGTGTGTACATTTTGCGGCCACCCTGTCTGTCGTTACGTCAACAATTGGCCTGTGAATGCGATAGAGGCTAGAGCTTTTGGCAGATTGTTTTCATAATTGGGGTGAAGCATCGTGGTCATACTAGGACAAACCCTATATACAGCGTTGTGCCACTTTTCGTGCGCCTTTTCCTCGAACCTTGTGAACGCGATAAAGATATAGTTCTCGAGGAATTCTTTTCAAATTTTGTGTAAAGCACTGCGGACATGAGAGGACGAACCCTGGCGATTTTTTTAGCGTTCCAGAGTTATTCCTCCTTTACCGAAAATCTTGTGAATGCAATGGAGGCTGTAGATTTCGACGCATTTTTTTTATTTCAATTTTGATGTAAATCATTGTGGCGGTGAAAGGAAGAACCCTAACGATATTCAGCGTTCTATGACTTTCCGTTCCGAAGTTACCCCCCCCCCCTTTGAAGAAAACCTTCTGAAGCGATATAAGCTACATTTTTTAACGATTTTTTTTTTAAATTTGGTAGTAAGCATTGGAGTCATGAGAGGACGAACCCTATCGAATATCAGTGTTCTAATACTATCCCTTTCGGATAGCAGTTGAGACAAAACTGCTGTGCAGGCATATTCGACGCTTTGCGTGGCTATCTTTTAGTACAGTGAATAGTGTGCTTAAAAAAAATTGCTCCACGCTTTGTAAAAACAGAGAGAGAGAGAAATGTCATTTTGGGACTAACACAGGGTTCAATTTTATTTCAATAATTCGCTTGCGCGTAGGGGTCTTTAGCAGTGGGAGAAACCGGAGGACCCGAAGAAAACGCACGAGGTTGGACAGGCGACCCTACTCCTTGTCACATACAACCAGGGAATCGAAACCCGACCTGTTGACCCAATGACAGACCTTATGATACAGCGCGCACGTGCTAACCATTCGGCTATCCATCCCCCCTGTCAAAATAAATACGAGCGTACTTTGGACCAGGAACTGACCATAATGTTTGAGAATATGGTACACAATGTCCCCCCTCATTCGGTACATATTATTTTAGTTTTAACATACAGGTATTGTTATCTGCATACACACCTATCACTCTGTAAAGACAGAATTCAAAAGCATTCTTTAACGATCGGACTTGAATTGAATGAGCCTTAGGCTTTTTCGAAGAGCGTCACCCCAAGAAGAAGATGAGTAGCGGTTAGCGACCAATTCCTAGTCCAAAAAGATAATGAAGCAGTGGGCAATACCGATTATGTCAACTGAAAATCACGAGCTTTGATACTATTAAAGAGATGGAACTGGCATAATATTTAGAAAAACAGAACACAAAGTAGCCTACAGTGCCGTTCACATCTCAAAACTCCACTAATGTTTGCCGAAATTGAAAATTGTTCTCGTTCCCGGCGACAGACAACCTAATCGAATACCCATATATTATTATGGCCCACTGCTTCAGATTCCTTAAATGCCCTGACGGTTAATCATATTAAACATAGAAATATATATATATTTATTTATTTCTATGATATTAAACGTCTTTCTTACAGGGCGTATAACTCTATTCTTTGGAACCTTAAAATAGACGAAATGTGTCTAAAAGAACATATTAATGTAATAATATGAGTGTACATAAAGCGGTTTACATTCAATTTGATCAATTTTATTGCAATTTCTAATCAATCATGTTGGTGAGAATTGAAAGTCATTCGTTTGCACCTGCTTAGTCCATTCTACGGGGCTTTATATTATTATTATAATGTTTGTGTATTGGCCATTTTAATGACTTCCGCAATGTCTTCTGGGGTAGGTTTTTCTTTGGTCATTACACATGGTGCTCGAAAACAATATGTCACGACCTCGTACTGATTATAAAATGTTCACCTGTCTTAAAAATAGATATTATGGCATATTCATTGATATGGATCAATTATGGCAATATTGAATTTAATTCGTGTTTTTTTATTTCGATTATTATGGATAACATTGAGTTAGAGGTTTAGCTCCTTTAACATTTTACTTATAATTTAACGATAAGACAAGTTAGCATAGATTTTCCTTACTGAAAACATTAACCATAATGAAATTTCGTTAATAATATTTAAAAGAAGTCAACTGAATCATGAATTACAGCGAAAAACAAGACCAGTCCATAAACTCCAAACGATATACGGCATAGTTGTATATTACAGTAATCATTAACCATGAAAAACAAATCAGTGTCAGCAGAAATGAATAAATTTAATGGTGTGAACCACAAAAAAACACCCCACAAACTGTTCGTTAAAATATTATGCTCTAATGAATAGGGTATTGTTTGGTAAAATATATGAAGTGGCGCTTTCCGGAGTACTCGATTGTCAATAATTCACCACATCAAAGATCATATAAAACAGTTCCTCTTGAAATATAATATTGAAATTCGATATATTTGTAAAATATAATGGGTTTATTACCTATTGCTCTGTTTAAGGTGAGAATTGTGTTTTAAGTATTATATGTGCCTTCTTTCAGAGTCATTCAACGAGTACCTAGTAGGCTAATGTGAAGTTTAAGTGGGGTTTTATACATTTAATAAGATAGAACTGTATACTATCATAATGCGTTTATTATTACGTGTATTATGCAAGGTAAGTGTTAAATATTTACTAAATAAAAACCGTTACCGAGGCTGTCCTAGACGATATTTACATTATCTGTAAATAGTATTACTGTATAATATATGGATTATCAAAATTGTTATCGATTGTCTCTATTGAAAATTATCGATATTCTTAATAAGCTAATGGAATACTTTATAAGTCTAATGTGTATGCTATAACGGAAAACGTTATCGGGATACAAATCTATTAACCCTTTTGTTTTGAGGTATTAAACGGATCAAATTTGATAGGATCATAAGATCAAACTATTTGATGTGTATTCTTGCGTTGTTGAATAACCAATAATATGTCTATAATCTGTAAACTGTAAATGGTATATCAAATCATTGTTGTTGTGATGCCACAGCAATATAACTACTAAATAATACGAAATAGTCGCGTCTCTTGAACAATTATTACAGAATGACAGCTATCTTGGTAGGTTTAATTTATTAAAATTTAATTGTTAACTCTCTCTTTTTTTATGGCTTTTCAGTACTTTGCAGAGCAGTGGCAGATCCAGGAGAGGAGCCTTAGACCCCCCCCCCCCCCCGCCCCCATCCTCCGGCCAAAAAACCAAACAACACAACAGTTTTAAAACATTCACTTATATTTCTTTTTCTAAGAATCGTGTAAATGTGTGCTTTTAGTGCAGTATACTGGGGTTGTAGCAGGTGAAACTGATTGTTATATCTTGGTTTTATTAAGCCAGGAATCCCCATTGACAACCCAATTTTTGCAAATTTTCTTAGGGGGTCACCCCAAATCACACATCCTGCGACTGCCACTGTGCCATAGCAATGAATAGTCTCTAGCTTTAGCTTCTGAAGTCAAATGGTGACAGATGTCATGTTTAGGATGTTGCCATAGCAGACACTTTAACGCGGGAGGTAGAATAGAACTATTTGTATTAATGAAATACTAAAATAAGAACATTTCATCTATCTATTTTCAGGAATCGAACAGCTGGCAAGATTATGTGAATAAAGTTTTGATGGACAGTGGTTTTGTTTCCAAGGCAGCCATTTATTCTGTGAAAGACCAGACATGTTGGGCTAGTTCAGCCAATTTTTCACTGGATAGTTGGCAGTTGAAAGAAATAATTAATACATTTAAAGATTCGACCAAGAATCGTATTCATGGATTAGCAATTAAAGATAGGATATTTACTATAACTAGGATAAATGATAACCGTATATTAATGAGTCGTGAAACACGGACTGGTCATGGTTGTATTATATATAGATGTAATAAGTGTGTTATAATAGCTGTATATGAAACTGGTAACCATCCTGGTAGCTGTTATACTACTGTTGTGAAAATGGGAGATTATTTGTATGATAATGGATATTAAATATGAAATAGAATGACTCTCTGTTTTGTTATATGGATTTTCAAAGTATTACGATTATACCTTTTTTCGCATAAAAACAAAGCAACACAATAGTTTATTTTCGTATGCAGATGTTCATGATAAAAAATTGTAATAATTTATGTGTTTGGTTGCATCAAATCTGCATCTAGATACTTTCCATTGACCAATGGTGTTAATGTCCCTCACCTTTCGAAGAAAGCAGGGGACTATTAACATGGGCCTGTCCTTCGTCTGTCTGTCTTTCCGTCCGTCACACTTTTGGGACACAATAACTTTCCTTCTAATTGAGCTAGATTGGTGTAGGTGTTTATTAGGTGAATGCCTTGATGCTAAGGGTAAGTAGAGATAAGTAATTTGATTGGTTGATGCTTTGGGAAAAGATAACTTTAGTTCTAATTAAGTGAGAGTGCTGAAACTTGGTGTATAGTTTCATTACATCAATACCTTGACTAAGATCGGTAATGAGCGTTTTCTGCTTCGGATAAGCAGGGCGATAAGCAATTTGATTGGTCGAGACTTTGGAACACAATAATCTGCCTTCTAATTGAGCTAGAACGTTCAAACTTGGTGTAGGTGTTTATTAGGTGAATACCTTGATGGGTTTCTGCTTAGGGTAAGCAGAGATAAGCAATTTGATTGGTTAATGCTTTGAGACACCATAACTTTAGTTCTAATTATGTGAGAGTGATAAAACTTGGTGTATAGTTTCATTACATCTATACCTTGACTAAGTTCGATAATGAGAACTTTCTGCTCAGGTCAAGATTTTTGAACGTAACAACTCTGCCTTTAATTGACCTATAGATTCTCATTATGCAAATGTCTGGAATGATTTCAATGATTAATATTTCCTGTTGAAGCTAAGCAGAGCTAAGCAATTTCATTGGTCTATGCTTTGGTACAAGATAACTTTGATTCTAACTGGTGGAGAATAATGAAACTTAGTGTCTAGTTTCACTACCAGGTACTTCAAAACCTGACTGAGTTTGATCGTGAACATTTTATGCTTAGACTAAGCATAAATAATCAGTTTGATTACTTGATACTTTTGAAAAAGATAAATGTGCAATTAATCAATATGTGTCATCTGGTTATTTTGGGATTTCGGCGGGGACATCAGTCTCACTGTTGGTTTGTTAATACATAGGATTCAAAATGCGGATTATTCAGAAGTGAACAATCATGAATCTGTCTTCTGTAAAATCAAACAGTTTGTTGGTGATTTGAATCGTATAAGTAAATCTATATTTCGATTCTCAGAAAAAAAAGATACAAACTCTTTAATTTAGATAAAAAATAAAAGTATTGGTTTAATTAAATTTGATGTGTTGAATTGTGAAGTGGGTATCTGTCTATGTCTACAATTTTATGACCGCTGATAAAGCCAGTCTTGATTTTGTTTACAATACTCAACAGTTTTAGCCATAAACAAAACAAAGATGCATTATGTAAGAGCTAAATCTGCGTGTTGCAGATCTTTACTTTGACTTCAAATGTTATATGAACTATTATTTAGATTAAGTCTTGTTTGTCCAGTACCATTGCTATGATAATAAACAATCTATGCTTCATCTTACAAAACTTTGCTCAAAATAAAGTAGCCTAATTTGAATGAAATGTTCAAAATATTCATTATTCATTGGGGGGGGGGGGGAGTCAACTGGATAAAGGGCTGGCCATTGTCGCTGTTATATTTTAAAAACAGATAATGAAAAATGAATATATTGAAAATTGAATTCAAATTATCAAAAGTTGTAGTTTTGACAAGATTTGTGCATTGATCGTAAACAATGTACTGGTTATTTGAGCCTTACGCCTCTATTTTTAAATTAAATCATTAAATGGCCAAACTGTTCTAATCTACCTAAAATCGAAGCCATCTGATGGCATCAAGAGTTGATTATGGTCTTGTCATCTTAATAAATGTCTAATTAATAATTTATATAACATTTAAGGCCCAAAGACCTGCAATAGGCAGATTTAGCTCTCGCATAATGCATGTTTAATCCACACTATAGTGTACCAAAATGAATTATTTAAAATTTAATCAAGGAAACAAACAAATATCAATGGTAGAAAATCTCACGGCTTGGATTCAATCGGATACAAAACTTAAAGGTGGTGCTGTCTTGCTTCTATCATCTGCACAGGATGCCGACTGTAGCAAAATTTTCAATTTAAAATGTCTTGGTAACTATTTTTGGCCTGAAATCCTTTTAGAGATCCAACCCTCACAATATTGTAGTTTGCAAGGGCATCCTTAATGCCTCAAATAACATTCGGAGACTTCAAAAGGATGGATGTAACAACAATATACGTCTATATTAAATGTGAGTGTATAAAAACCATTTGATGGTTGTAACTATAATGACTTATTTGCATGTCACACGACCATAAAATTAGGCTACATTTTACATGAAACAAGAATTTACCTAATTTTGGCCTAATATGGATTTTGACAAGATATTTATATATTACATCTATAATAAGAAAATAAAATTGATTGTGTAAAATTGACAATTAAAATGGCATATATGAATACGTACTTAAGAATGTACATAAAAATATGATGTCATATAAGATAAAAAAAGCCTAAATTAGGCTGTGTTTTTTTTTTCTCATTTAATCAGTCTTGAGCCATTTAACAATCTACTGATGTTCTGCATAAATTCACAACCCACAATATTTTAATTTCTCTAGTTTCACTTTGTGGTTATTGGAAACTTTTGAAAACGAACTTTTGGTGATAATCAATGGCATGTCTTTTCCTGATAAATATATCTTATTTATAAATTGATTGACATTAAAATCACTTAGTTTTAAAATCTCCAAATCAGTATCCATATTTTTGCTATTTTTGGCTACAAAAACAGACAAAATGGCACCAGTCATAAAGGCATCAAAGCCAGCTCTATGTCCGCCACTCCTAGAAGAGGATAAACCTTCAGTATTTAAAGCAATTTGAGAAGAATTAATAGGTATTTCATTAGGAGAACTACTTGCATCATTGGAATGACTAGCACCACATCTTTTTTCTTTTGCTTTTCCAGTTGGTATATTATCACATTTTTTACAGTGATCACTTGAATCACATGGTCCACTTTTATCATCTGATTCACTGTTTGTATTATCTATAGTATGTTCTATAAAACTAGGTACTAATGAGACATTACTACTGTTTTCCAACCCATTCTTATTATTCTCTTCTTTTCCACCACAATTTATGTCCATTTTTGACTTTTTGACAGCAGAAGAATCAGAATTATCTCCCTTGTCACAACTGATTTCTGCTGAAACTTCACTTTCTGTATCAGAGTTTTTCAAAGAGTCATTATCTTCTTGTAGGTCATCTTCGCATTTCACTGATTTATTGCCTTTATGTTTTCTATTACGACTACGTTTCCGACTGCGTCTTTGTTTCGCCGAGAGAAGATAATCAATACTAATAATAAGATCAACATCATGTAGTAATGGACACGTCCGAGGTTTACTACACCAACCATGTGCCTGGAGAAAAAAAAAAGAACAATTAAAATATGACATTTTCATTTAACTCAACCTAAGTCCTAGCTTTAATTAGTATATGTAACCATACCTTACCTTGTACACCATACACATCACTACTTACTTATAGCTAAATGGAGCCACAACTTTGATTTGGGTTTTTAGAAACTAAAGACACTTAATAGATGGTAAACACAAACTAACATCATGAATTTCATGATGACATAAATGTACAATTATTACATTTGAGGATCTTAATTCTAATAATTTTGTAAAACTGTATAATTTCCACTCCACGATTGACATAAATATGATAAAAGTGGATGACACATATATGATATTGCACTTTTAATTTCATATATTTATCTAAATGACAATAACTGCAAAACCAACCACATACCAAACTAACCAACAGGGCAATATACATATATATCTAACGCAGATATAAAATATCACCACACCCCCACAGCTAAAAAGAAAATGGCGAAATAATCACGGCTTGACTTCCATATGTTTGAATACTTACAGCGAAACATAAACATATTGATGAACGAAGTTTTTCTATTTCAGATTCACTCCATTCTCTAGGTGTAAAACCACTGTAATGATAACCTACAGCTTTATAGGCATCAGGGTAATTAGGAAATTCAAAAGATACTTCCTGTCTCATTTCACATAGATGATTTAAATTCTCTCTCTGACTGTAATGATAAATATAATATAAATACTATGTTTAGGATTAGGGTCTTGAATTATTGAACACAAAACTAACATTTGATTATGGGAAGGTATAGGTTTGAAAACTGAATATACAAGTATCTGAATTTGGTGTTCAATCCTCAGAATCTTCATCCTATAGTCCTCCAAAACAAGACAGGGAGTTGTGTCTTCTTCGAAGTGCAACTGCTAATGGTTCTTTTATGTGCATGCCAAAAGTGTACTTGGGAACTTGGTTTTCCATCCCATCCAAACAACTGGACACTGTTCCGGGGCAGGATCTTTTTTTTTAGAGTTTGTTATTCAATGCCAATTTAAACTAATGGAACGTTATCTATTTTTGTTCTTTTTGATCATGTTAATTGAATCAAATAATCATTTGAATAAGGACATAGGATTTTCTAATAGTAAAATCACCAATGAATGTGACCACTAAGCTAACTCCTACAGAAATTTCTTACAATATATTCTTACTTAAATTATGTTTTAAATTTTGAGCTTACCACTGCATAAAAACATATTCTAAATACGAAGCTTCAAATCTTTCTAAAAAGTCGGTAATATATTTGGTATCAATAAGGCCAGTTGGGAACATCTCACTCAAGTCTGCCACAAAACATGTAAAGTTATTGGGTAAATCAGCGTAGAAATTCTGGTAGAGGAATACTAGATCTACAAAGGCATTGTGGAACACCAACGGAACCTGGCTATACACAATTAAACTAAATATCCCACGAACTGATGGTGAATTGTGAAAAGAATTGTCCTGAAAAAAAAAAATATTCCATAGATATTTAGAAGCTAATATCACAATAGGCTTCTTCATTTTATAAACACAAACAAGGTGTATAAATTTTAAGTCAATGTTGGTTTATAAATATTTAAATTGATATGGACTTATATAATAAAACTTACAGTAAGCCAAATGACATATACATTAATCATACTCCAATCTGATTAAAGAGAGAGAGAGAGAAATGGGGTTTAACGTCCACTCGACACAAACTAGGTCATTTTGGGACTAACATATGGTTTTTAAAATTTTAGTTAAATAATTCGCTTGCGCGTAGGGGTCTTTAGCAGTGAGAGGAAACCGGAGGACCCGGGGAAAACCCACGAGGTTGGACAGACGCCCCTACTCCTTGCCACGTACAACCGGGGATTCGAAACCACGCCAGTTGACTCAATGACAGACTTTATGGTACAGCGCGCACGTGCTACCCATTCAGCCATCCAACCCCCCCAATCTGATTAAAATACAGATCTATATTTCGTTTTGTTTTTTTATACTTTCGCTGGCCTACACTACATGAAGATCTGACAAGTTGTACTCAAAGGTCATGACAAGGGTCGTACAAGCGGCTTTTGACCCTATGACGTCAGACATTGATTAATCAATCAGCGTTGACGTTTCTAGTGGTTTACCCACAGTTCCGTGCCAAGAAGTCGACAAAACAGACCGTTTCATTGGCTTATCCCTACTTCAACCAAAATGTCGGTAATATAACAACTCTTCCAGATCCTAGTGTAGTAAAAACAAGTAAAACAAAATTTTGAACTATAAAAAACGAAACGAAATAGGAGCTGTGTTTTAATCCGATTGATCATACTCTGGCCAGCTTTTATTTAAAACTCAAATATAATATTAATTTCTGCTTCAAATATATTATTGCTTCCTCAAATATATTTATTGCTTCCTCAAATACAATGTACATCCATTTCTGCATCAAATACAAACCTTATCATTGCCTCTATAATATGAAACACCAGTAGCATATTGTCTATTAAAGTCAAAACTATGATCCACCAAAAACTTGAGTGATGCTGGTTCTACAATATAATTTTCGCTACAAAGAACCATAATATTGAATGTCTGCACATAATAATACCATTTAGATTTACTTTTTTCATCTGGGTTTGGCTTTATCTTAAAACATGAGATTCCTAATGATAAAATAGATCTGGATTTGGCCACTGCAAGCAGCGATGTATACCGATCTTCTATACATCTGAAACATAAATAATAGGGAAATTGTATAGCAAAAATAATGATTCTTTAAACAATAGTCTAAATATCAAATATTTAAAAAAGGAACCATTTACTGTAGTTATGATTTAAGCATAAAGCCTATTACAGTTTAAACAGTTGTTGAAATATAATCTAAACAAAAAAAAATTCTTACTTTGCATTGAGTAGCTTTCTATCACCAAGACCACTTAGTTCCTGAAATATATAAAACATTTATTAATAATAATATAATTTATAGCGCCATTAAATTCTTTAAAAGATTACCAGTATGCAATGGCAAAAATGGACGTTTGAGTAAGGACAGTGACGAGGTGCACATGAAGTAGAATGGCTGCTTTACCAAGCTAAGAGAGGCTTGAATTTTTGGGGCGTTATTAACATTCCCTTCACTTTACTCTAAAACTGCAATATACAATACTTCACTACATATCAAAGGAATTAAGAGATTCTAGATCCAATACTTTGTGGGTCTTAAATCAGCCACATTTTCAATTAATTTATTTGATTATCCAAAAACTGAAAGGCACTTTTCTGAGCATTTTTAGAGATCACGAAGACTATTTTCATGGTTTTTATACTCTAAAAAAATGCTGGCAATTCAGAAAGGATACCTTCGGTCAGGAAACCTTACAAGAGGTAATGCATGTAGCAATTATATCACAAAGTTATTCTCATTTTTATTTTGGTTTCTCAGAAAAGGCAGAATAAATCCAAATAATTCTGCCAGGGCTCACTGAATAAACGATAAAAAGAAGAAATAATGTTGAATTGTGATGTAATTATAGTGACTTGAATTCTGAGTACTTACTGTATCTACACCAATATATGTTGCTGACTTTATTGCTAGACATAATGATGGCCATATTTCTTTGATATTATCTGTATTAACATCAATGACTGGTACTCTTACTGGTTTACCAAATAGTGCCATATTTTACCAAACACTCATCAATATACTTCTCTAAATATTCTACAGGTACATCAGTACAGGTCTAAAACAATAAGTAACAATGGTTCATGAATCACAATACAATTAATATACTCCTTTTCTTCTATTCATAACAATCAATTTTTTCTAATTTCTCAAGGTTATAAGAATAACCCCTATTCACTTAACATACAATTATTATACTACAGCCAGGTATGCACCGTGTGGTGGAAAAATTCTAAAGTCTAGCTGAGAGTCAACACAACTCAAAATTTACTCCAAAGTTGAGAGACAAACAATTAATGCTTAAATGTTGCAAAAACTTGTTGGTATCTTGGGTTGTTTAAATTTATTTCACAATAAAATGGTTCTACATTTATCTTGTAACTTTCCTGATTTTTAATGATCATGTCGCAGACGAAACCTATCTGATATTCTGTACAAGTATGCAGGGTGTGTGGTCTATGATCAGACACTGGCTGACACCTCCACAGATAACTGCATTTGGAAGATCAGATGCATCTAAAAAATTAACAAGCAGGCTAATGTGGATATGTCAAAAAAGGTATGTCCAATATATACAAATGCACTAAATATTTCAGTACAAAATATCTGATATCGACCCAACGAGATTAGAATTAGATTGGCCCTACAGATTTGCAAAAAAACTTTATGCATGTTAATTATTAATAAGCTCTGCCATAATTTTTATATAAGCTGTGTATGTCGTTTGTTTTGGGGTTTTTTTTCGTAATTTAAATTTAATGTTTGGTTGCACAAAGTCGAACAATATCATAATATAGAGCGAAGCTCTACAGCATCGCGCAAAGCGCGGTGCTTGAGCAAAGCTCTTTTCCGTTAACAAAGGAGCGTAACTGAAATTGTCACCCACAGACTGTTGATTAAAAAAAAATCAGACCGGAAACGGATACACTGGGCAAAACAGGCAATGCGCATGTCAACTTACCAAATCTCGCCCAAGCGAGATTACGCGCCTCATAGAACTATTTCTATGACGCGTCTAATCAATGACGTCACATATTTTTGACGTCAATGAAAATAATTCTCACACTTTTTTGTTCTTTTTTAAAAAACAAAATTAATGTATACAATTTAGATCTAAATGAAAATCAATTTTGAAAAACTAAATTATTTAACATTTTTTGTATCACTTGAGAAAATTAATTATGAAGGTTTTATATTTGACAATAATCAGCTTCGCTCTACTCAGGCAATGCCTGTTACATATTATCATGACATTACCGACAGCAGGTTGTTGTTAAACTTATGAATATATTATAAATGGCATGTGCAAGTGAGACTTTGTCATGAATTGTTACACAGAGGTGCGATTCCTTTATCATGATATTTTTTACCAAACCAGTAGGTTTTTTGAATGAGTTTATGAATACCTACAGTGCAACATGAACAATGTTAGAACAACTTTGGACTGATGGCGCTTAAGTTTATTTACAAAACATGGAGGGCGCCATTTTTGCTAAGGGAGTCTACTCGCATGAACGTTTGGAATCAGGCCACCGCTGTTTTCAACACAAACGTCATTATTCCTCTTAAAATTCCTTTTAATTAAATTTAAAGAGTTCATTTGATACCGAAATGGGTGAGTAGTTAGCGAGTAACCCCATTTGAGATTGGGTACAGTTATTTTTAATATTAAAGCGGACAATTCACCCTTTTTAAAGAGAAAAACAATAATAAATTTGTATGCTTGATAATAATTAACGATCAGTGAAATCTTGTCGAAACGTCGTGTGTATATATATAGTGATTTTTATCTATAGAATTGTGTTGTGTTATAAATAAATACCAGAATAACACCGCATAATAATTAACATAACTTTTGTAGGTTTTCAATCCAAATTCTTTGACCTTGAATACACTTGATAGATGTATATATTATAAGTTTTGCTAGGTTTTCTTGACAAAATGCGACCTGGTGAATACCTGCAGGCGCTTTTGTTGAGTTTTGTTGAGTATAAAAACAACAAAATTTTACAAAATTGTCTTCGTGACGTCTTTAAATACATAAGAGGGCGTTTTTCAGTTTTAAATTATGAAAAATAGAAGTATGCCGAATAGATGTGTACAAGATACGACGTACAAGATCCTGTTTTATTTTCTAATTGTCAAAATTGTTATCGATGCTAACTTAGTAATTTTGCGTCCTTTGGCACTGCTTTCCCGCCTCGAAAGTTGACTCCAATGTTTATTATAAAGACATGAAGAAAGAAAATTCCGAAAGGAGTATTTAACTCCACTTATCCGAGAGGTGAGGGTAGGGGGCTCTCTCTTTTTGAAATCTGAAAAAAGGCGTGGCCCCCCCTCAACTCTATCCATAAATCATGCATGAGTCTGGTAACCAAACGTTTTCTCAGCCAAGGTCAAATTTTAGTTGGTGATGGGGATTGTAACGTAAGAAACAAGAAACAGCTGAGCCGAATAATAACATATTTAGTATCTTTAATACGCTATAGAGATTTAATATAGATAATTATGTTGACGGTTACATGTAACATGATAGAACTCAGAACAGAACCAAATTACCACCTTTTATTATGTAAATATACAGTGTTATTCTGACCACGGTCATTAATCAGCCTCAAGTAATTACATACAGGTATTGATTTAAGACTTCACGAATCACAGTATTATTATTGATTATACATTAATACTGTTACGAAAAGACTTCTTCGCGGGTTTAATGTACGCTCTTTGCCATATAGAAATTTAAAGCCAATAATTCTGAGATAGCATTATCGTGGTGATATTTTCAATATCTGCACCAACCGAGCTAATGAAGACGGGAATACGCCATACAATGTGTTATGGGGGAAATTTTGCTCGACCGCAATTGAATATCAATGTCCATGCCAACGTGTACACGGGGCCTCGGTTTTCCGTCCTGTCCGAAGGACTAGACACTCTCCCTCGTCAGCCTGTTATTTTTATTTTCATGTTGACATGTTTATTTTCAACTGGGCTGTATAGTATGGCGGTGTGAATTATTGTTGAATTTAACGCTTGTTTATTATCTGAGTAGGCGTTTGTGTACTCACATGCCAAGAAAATTGATGTAAAATAAACTTAATACGATTATGCATCAGAAAAGTAATGCAGCATTGCGCCAGTAGAAAATAGTAATTTAGGCTGATGTTAGATGCCATCTTGACATAGATGTTCATGGATAGAAATGAGTTATTGAGATTTTGACCGAATCTAAGACAACAAATCAGTAACAAGTAACGTAAATTGTAGATGGTCGTAATTTACGTTATTAGTGATCGTTTTAATTACTTTTAGAACAATAAGTCCAGTTTTATTTTTTATGGTCTGAAAATCAAATTTTCCTTTTAGTCTCTAATGTTGTGCCTTTATAATTTCGATAAATTATCTCCTACGTAATATGGTTAAATGTTGTGAAAACAAGTCGCCGATAGCTTAATGTATAATAATTACCCTATTCATCTGGATTAGTTAAACGGATTATCCCATTAAGACTAGACCAGCTGATGAACTCGAATTGAAACTTAGTTTACAACACTATGAAATGAAATGGGGTTTATTGTCCTACTATTTTTTGCACCAACCAGGTTAATGAAGATGGGAATAGCACTATAAAATCAACTTGAATGTCTTACTGTGATATTAAAGTACAGTTTATTCACACTTCTTATATTTGTCTTGAACATTATAACAGTTTGTTAATAATACATACAAGACACCGTATTGTGTTTTAACGGTATTCAGCAAACTACATGTTAACTTACTCGAGCTCTTGGGGAATAATAGGTCTTATATATAATGACTGCTTAATCAGCCTTCAACACGTTTAGACTTGAATACAATTACATACACAACTCGACAGGATTACGAATTAATTATGTTCAGTTCGGTTTTGGTTTCATTCTTGATGACTGTAAAAACATCGGTTGCAATTTAATCTTCTTTCTTTCAAATCACGAAACAGACAAAAAACATCAGGGAAATATGTAACTTCAAACAGATTGAATTGTAAGTATTAGTTAGTGGTATTTGAGAGAAAAGATCCCGGGTTTTAGCAGACGACATTAGCAAACCGGTTTTGGTTTGACGACCGTACAGTGAAATCCTTGAGTAGGTTTCAGCTATTTATAAAAGCCAGTGACAGCTTTTCAGGAGCCTTTTATTGACTGGTTTAGATTGTGTGTACAATATCCCATCAATGCTGTATTGTTTACCCTGAGAAGAGAAAATGTAGTGTTTGTAAGAGGGTCACACTGACGGTGAGTTGTAACATTAGTCGTCTTGCTAACCGAGCGCGGAACGATAACAAAATGTGGAGAGGTGTCATATTCATATATCAAGGTGGATAATTAGAATATCGTTTGACATATGGCGTCGTGTTGTTAGGGAAGAAAATATGGCGGATATAGAACACGGTGAAAAGACGTACGGAACAATAATTCCACAAAAAGAATATGTTTGGGAAGAAAAGGCGCGAAGTTTGAGAGAAATATTAAGTCTGTGTCATAGTCGTCTGCCATTAGCTGTCAAATTCGTTGTGGGTTCCGGTGAGTTGTCCAAATTTACTGGACAACAGGATGATAAAGGACAGACGGATAGAATATATAATATATTGGAATTACGTCGTAAAAAGATAATTCTAGCCAGAAAGTTACAATGGGACAAGACTGTGATGGATTATATGGTGACTGGAGATCAGATAGAGGTTCCTGCTTCTTATAAAGGTATGGTATTGATGTTCTGTTGTCTGTAAAATGATGCCCTTTTTGAGAAATTCACCTGATTACATCAGTCTCCATTGTTGTCTTTTACTCTACGCCAATGTCTAAGAGTTCCAATATTTATAATTGCTAATAATATTAATTCAACTTGAGGTCATGTTTAGTTTAAAGAAACTAGTTTCACCTACTTTGGGTGTGCAATGTTATAAAACTTTTGCCAGGAAAGTTGCGTGCCATTTCGAGGCACTGTGTGAAATACCTTTATTTGAGACCTGCCTTTATCTAGACCAGTCTACAGGTCGTTACGAGTTGGGACTTTTAACCGAGTAGGCTACTACATGTACAACGTGAGAGACAGTTTGCCACCACAGTGGTATAACGTGTACAGGCCGTCATAACTTCAAGGGACTTGTCGAAAAGGGTTATAGTTTAGACCTGAATTTACAAGGTAAAGCTATATGATAAAATGAAATGGGGTTTTTATGAAGGGATTTTCCCCCTAACAACGAAGTTTCCGCCTACGCTTCATAGAATTCAAACTGTCTGTGGTTATTTTACGTGCACACCAATGTGGACACTGATTATTGACCTCAGTTTTTGCATCCTCTGAACGACAAGGCTAGCGTTTTTTGTCAACGCTACATGAGCTAGCCCTAACAAGTGGGTACTGGGATTTAAAAAAATACCGAAGGCTCTTCACGGTCCACGCAGTCATTCATCGTACCGGATAAGAAGTAACTCTAGATACAAAATCTACTAAAATATAGATCTTATTTATTGTTGTAAGAGTCATTTAGCTATTTGCAGCCCTTCCTGTGCTAATTATAGGTCGGTCGGAAGACATTGTTGAAAAGGATACTAGACCTCAATCTAGGGGACTTACTATTTAAAACTATTATGATAAAAGTATAAATAAACATCAATTATAGTTAAAAACAACAGGTAACCACGTTCACATGATTCAAGTATCAACATGTCAATATTTTATACAAATAACATATGAAAACTAATATGAATGATAGCACATACCCTCGTGTGTTCTCTAATAATAAATATCAATAATAACTATATCAATAAACTCTACACTTAAACTAATGGACGTCATATCTCCAAGAACTGGCCTTATACGCCGATACATAAACACACGTTATACGGTTACCAAATTATAGCCCAAATATTGAATTAATTATGTGTTATTTTTTATTTAATAAAACGAGCTCTTGTTTTGTTACAATACTAACTTTGCAATGAATAATAAATATTTTCTACCAATGCAATATACATCAAGTCACTTGGAACTAGTCCGAAACAGATGCATAGAATTTGGCGTTAGGGTTAGGTGTAGCCAAACATTGTACGGTATCCAAATCATTTCCCAAATAGTAAATCTATTAAGTTTTGGAGCTGTTATTACAATATTACGATTGTAACAACTTTTCGCTACCAATGCAATATTTATTTTAGTTTTATTGATTATCTTTTATGTATTTCAATTTCATTGATTTGCTTGACTAGACCCATACAAGTAAGTAATACATGCAATACATGCGACGAAGCATGTACCTGTATTGGTAACGTTATTGAACCAAAATAAACTATAAAATCATATCGAAATCACTGATTCTATTTTTCACTTGGTAAGGACACATAACTTTTATAATCAATATACAACGTTATCACCATATGTTATTTTAATTTTGAATGGCGGTTACATTAAGTCCGTAGTAGAAAAAATGGACAATGCAATAAAAGAAACTAGTCGATTCAATAGGGAATGATGGGATGTAGTGACGCTGACTGGGTGACATTTTTAAAGCGATACTTGCATTTTATTAAAGATACATTCCCACGAAAGTATTTATAGGGTAGTTATTCCAATTAAAGTATGGTAAATGTGGTATGGAAAGTAGAGACCCCGAGTCTTACTAGAAAAATACTGGATTCCACTGTGAGCCCGACGGCTTATTGTCTGCCAGTTTGAATGGTTAAGCGATTTTGGGTACATTGAGGGATGGGTTTAAACGTACAATTAAACGGCGGAAAAAGAAGCTGGCAGAGGATAATAAAAGAATTTACGTAGGCATCAATATGTATGGTAAAGGGACAGTGAGTAACGACAAATACATTCTGAAATGGGCCCTCACTCAGTCAAGTTACGTGACAAATATGGCTTCTAAAAATAGATTTTTTTATATCTTGGGGAATTTCACCGCGAATACAATGTGTTGAGAGGGAATTGAATCTAATTTTTGATAGATTAATTAGTTTGAATATGTTTTTAGTCAAAATATATCACCAAATCACCCAGTTTGTACATAGGGAGGCTTTCTTAAGATGTTAAAATAAAATATTAAAACACACGGAATCTATACACAGCCCTACTTTGTTAAAAAGTAATCCTATAATTCGCTATTGTCAGTTGAGAAATTAGCAAATATATCATTTTCAAGTTAAAACACCAACGTTAAGCTTTTCCAGTTCCATGCAGCGTGTAAAACACTTGAGAGGTAACTTTGCTATTATTTCCAGTGTTATTATTAATATTATTGTAAGTGCTAGAATGGTTCCAATGATTGTATAATAGTGTTAGAAATAGAAATAATTATGTTTGATTTTCTTAGAAAATATATGCAACTATGGCTTTAAATGTCTTATGTTTAGAAAATGAAAGTATCATATCAATTTTGTTATCCCTTTGTTGTATGGTTTTATTTTTTGTAAAATAGATTAAACTTGAGGTTTCAAGTAGAAATGTTAAACATCAGGTTAAAATCGAACAATAATGTTTATTGTTTGTTTTTAAAAAAATTAAACCGGATTTTAAGGATACAGAACACCGGAAATCGAAACTGCGTTGGTTAAATCTTTTATCATCAAGGAATAAACCTAGTCAGCTTTTAAATATCTGTAAATTGTCTATGAATTTCAATTCCTAGGCCATGATGCTTCCTGGTAATAATTGATTTTACGGTTAACGTTCTTTCAAATCCGTTGCTTGTAGCGAATATTATAGCTTCGAACATTGTTATTATCAAAATTAAAAGATGTTAAAAGTTTTAAGCTGTGTAAACAGTTCACATAAAAAGCACTATAAAATTATTGAATCGTAACCACGAAACCAGAAGCTTTTATTGTGTGACTCAAGCTCGGGTTTCATTGAAACGTATTTATCTGAAGATCTTAGAGTATAATTATAAGTTAGGGACCTCCTATAAATAATATATCCCGTTACAGAATGACAGTCACAGTGTGAACTATGTACATTTCTTTATTTACTTTATCTTTCTTATGTACTATTGTATTTGCTTTTTTAATAATTTGCTTTCCTCTATAAAATTGAGGTCATTAATGAAATATCTCTATCCGTGTCCTTTTCCTGGTAGTTCATTATCAAGGTATTCAAGTATTTCCGTAACTGGGACTTAATGTAAACAATGGTTTAATTAAAGTTGTCTTTAACAAAACTCGTATTATATGTTAATGAAATAAAATTTCCACTTTTCAAAGAATAAATGAAGCTAATATAAACATTAACATAACGGGAGACGTCATTTTATTAACTTCATTATTATGCTTGTATAGGTAGGACAGAATATAGGGAGGAGACAGCTTGACTTGATAAATATAACTTAGACAAAAAGTTAACTGGCCATTCATCTTGTCTTATGTCTAAAATGGCCAACTGCCAGTATATATCTATACCTACACTTGTTAATACACTAGGTATATATAATATTACATATGGTTATATTTACCTTAGTAAGTAAACTATTCATAATTATATAATAGTACTGAGACCGTTTTACAAGTATCTTGTTCTTATATTATTATTAAAAACACGTACACGTGAAATGTAAGTATATTGTAATATCACAATTTGATATACATTTTAACACACAATTACATTTCCGATAAAAGTGGTGTATTTTTTCCACTCTGTTTTAAGGTCGAAGAATAATATAAACATATTCTTGTATAGATATGTGTGTTGTGTACATGAGACCTACTGATTGCCTGCATATAGTATGCGAATTGTTTCAAACAGTGTTTGTCGTCAGTGCTTCACTCATGACCTTTCTTAAGTCTTCTTCCAGTTATTACAACTTCTTAATTATTCATAGGCTCTCAAAACAGCCTTAGATTATTCAAATATCCATATTAGAACGCAACGATTTCTGTTAAAAGTTATGCATTATTCACTGGTTATGTATGGAGCGTAATTTCCTAAGAATACTGTTGACAGATTCATATAAGCAATATATGTATGAAGTCTACTAATTGCATATATAGGGTTATTGTTGCATATATATATAAATTATTCACTTCCCGCTATGACAAGTTTTTAATTATTCTGACAGGCTCAGAAACAACCCTATTCTATTCAAATGTCTACATAAAAACCATACACCGAAAGTGATAACAACACTATCTATCACATATACCGAGTCAAGAAAAAAATGCCCGGTGTTGCTCAACTGGTTCCCCGAGAGTGTTTTTACCTGGGCAATGCACTACAGAAAAATGTGTAACGAATGACTATGTACAGTGAATTTTGATAGTTCAAGATCACCTGGTTATCTATGTAAACTGTAAAGTTATGTGTTAAAGATGTTTAAAACTTGTTTTATGAATAATTCACAAGTTTTTCTACAAGTCAGACTGGTTTAGAAAAATACTGTAAACGGGTTATAAAACCCAGTGAAACAGTTGAATGAACAAAATAAATTCAGTACTTGGCCCTGTGAGATCTGGTCTGTGTCTTTATACTGTTATTGCTCCCATAATGACATTAATAACTATAATATAGGCTTACTACAGCTGTTTAGTACGCTTTTACTCAAAAATACGAAGGTTTTGTAAAATGACCTTTCTTTGTTTCATGCTGTCCTTCAAAAGAATGTCCCCAGTCATATGCATGGCCGAACAAACTGTACTGAATTGATTAAATATCTAAAGACTTTGAGCAGTGATCATAAAAAGTATTCTGATCCAAACAATTCTTG